ATTTTCTTACTTTAAAACCAAAATAAAACTAATTTTGGGAGAAATTTTATTTTCAACATTGTATTCTTGAATCAAAAATCTTTTTTCAAATATACCTATTAGGGTGTGTAAAAAATAAAAAAAAAAAGCTTTTTTTTTAAACCACTTTTAAAATTACGTGAAAATAATTATTTTCAAGTTCAGTAAAAATGACTTACAACATATTTTAAATCAAAAGATATCTTCTTTCTCATCATCGCACTTTATTTTAAGCTTTCAAGAGAAAATAATGCTCTTAAGATATTATTATCTATTTGCTATCTGGACAAGTGAGTTACAGCTTTCTTCTGTATTTATTTATTAATTCTAAATCGAATGAAAACAAAATCAAATAGAAAGAGTTAATGGCTGGGAAGCTATGAAGTTTGTATGCGTATGTATGTCACAGGCGACTAAAAATGTAAGATATGGTAAAAATTCAATTCATTTTTTATTTATTTAATTATTCAATCATAACTACCACCATTGCATACATTGTAAATTATATTTATTCAGAGCCAAAAATTTCTTCCGAATTACCTAAAATTGTAAACTAAAAGAAATATGCTAGAAAAAGTTACTAATTTTAATTTCTTTTGATATATTTTTGCTTTTAATTAACCACCACTTTTTACAATTTTTGTCGCCTGTGGCATCCCTGCATTAGAGTTCATGATATCTGACTTTTAGTTAGAGAATTACGACAATGGCTTCAAAATAGTCCAAAATAGTGGGGGTTGTAAAAGATAAAGATGTAGGAATGGTTACCATACTTGGCGACATTTCTCTCAAATCTCACTTTTTTTAAACCGTGTTGGGAATTTTTATCTCACATATTTATTTTAGTGGTATTTTAATTTTTTAGTATCATGAGATGTTTGGGTTAAATATATATTAATATTAAAACTATAGTGAATAGAATTTTAATCAAAAAAGGTAAATTATTGATAACCTTACAAAAAATTGGTGAAAAAAAATAATTTTAGCATACTTTTTATCAATTAAATAAATATTTAAATCTTAATATAAATAACCTTCTTATTTTATTGATTTTTTGTTAACTTAATGAAATTTCGATATCTTTACGATGGAATCTCGATACATGAATCTTTGTGTCGATGAAATCTTACAATCAAAATTTAGATTACTTTCTCACTAGCTGGAGCACTCAAAACAGTACTAAAACTCCCTGTCCGAGGCCATTGCAAGATTCGATCATTTTCTGCTGCTATCAGCAGAACTTATCACGATATTACTGTCAAAGAGAATTTTTCGTAACTCAAACTTTTTTTCGATCATTCTAAGAGCACACAAATTTGAGCTGAATCTCTATGCAGAATGACAATACTATTTGCAATCATTTCACGACTGTTACCAGAAGAATTAATCAAGACATTACTATCAAAGGAAATTTCTGCCCACTTCCTTATTAACTACAGTGCTCGCGTTATAAGAGCCCTTCGACGCTTGACGACAATCCAAGTTTCAATTCTTCCCAAAACAATCAGAATCAATCATCATATTATCGCAAAGTTAATTGATTGTTGGTAAAAATTTCATCCACTTTCCGAAAATCTAGAGAGTTTAAACCTCACCTAGGAATCCGAGCCTGATGATAGATAAATTAAATAATTCTTATTTCCAGGTAACTTTGCCACAGGTAAAAATTTAATACCATATTATTACTACAAGAAATTTATAGTTAATTGAAATTTCAACTACTGTCCGATTAGCTAAAGGGCTTACATTTTAAATGGAGATCTGTTCTGGAATGACAACTAATGCTTATATTGCTTCCAGATATCTACATGCAAATTTTGGAATCATATAAACACCAAAAGGAAATTGTCTTCTATCTGAATTTCAGCTACTTTCTAACTAGTTGAAATGTTCTTAAATTAACTGAATCACTGTAAAATGGAAATGCTTGTTTCAATTATTTCTTGACCTATATAAGCAAATTTTAGATCGTCAAGTAAAATTCATCATCTATCTCAATATCGACCACTGTCCGACTAGGTAAGAGTCAGGGCCGGATTTACGTATAAGCTAAATAAGCTGTAGCTTGGGGCCCCGAGATAGCAAGGGCCCCCAGATCCCACTTTTTTTTTTCTTTTTTTTTTTAAAAGTTTTATTTAGAGCTCTCTGAAGTCCAAAATGCATTTTTTCTTTTTTTTACATTGTCGGGCTCTTTTCAAAATCTAATCGAAGTGTTTACAAATATAAAATAATTTTTACTCTTCACTTTTCTAACCAAAAGAGCAATAAAGCGCTCTTTTGACCGATGAAATATCCCGCTTTCGCAACAACCACCCACAGCATTGTCAAATAGCCGCCTCATTTTACACTGGAGGGGAAATATTTTTAGTTTCTTTAAATTGCTTTGGAAATTGCTTATTTCGGAAATATCGGATATCCACAGAAACACCTTTTTTCTGACTTCTGGTCATAAATTGCTTGGAACTAAAAATTTCTAGGGCTGTATTTAGGGCAAAAGTGAAAATCAAAATTAACCGAATTCGTGGTTATTATGCCATGCTCTAAGACAGCGGCTCTCAATTATTATTTAGGTCTCCCTCTATGGAACCCCGACACNTTTAAAATTACAAATAACATTTATTCAGAATTTCCAAAAAAAGTTCGGTTAAATATAAAATGGCTCTTCCAGCATGTCAAAGTTTTACTCTTTGATTAAAATGTGTTTTTGTTGTAACTTTTTTCCGCCTTCAAAATATATGTGCAATAAAAGAAAGGTTCTACATTATAGTCTCATCAGAATCACATTTGACAATCAAGTAATACTATCAAATTTTTTAGTAATTTAGTATTAATACTCAACAATAAAAAATAATGACAGTTTACTTTAGGTGTGAAGAAATAGAATTGTATTTGTAAGGGCCCCAACATTTTCAGTAGCTTAGGGCTCCGCCTAGCTTAAATCCGGCCCTGGTAAGAGTGCTTAAATTTCACAAAAGCTCTGTGTCTCGTGACAATAAGCAATCATTTCCTAAATATTTCTAGCTGAATTTATTAACAAACGAAGAACATTTCAATTTTAGAGTCATAAATTATTATTACAAATTAGAGTCATAAATATATTTATCTAATATATATAAATGATCATTATTTAAAGCAAAATATTTAGAAAAATATATTTATAAAATATTAGTCTGTAGTTGCCTTCCTGCGTACAGCAGAGCAGAATGGTATTTTTTACAACAAGTTTAGCTCTATATAATTTTCGAGCTGAATATCAAGTGATCGTTTTTTTTTTTTTTCTTATTTATTTATCTTACTCCCTGTTCGTTTTTCAGCACTATTTTATTATTTTCAGATTATAAGCCTTTTAACCCTTGCGCAGCAAAACAAAATGTAACGTAAAGATAAATAAATCAAAAAATAGATAGCAAATAGATCTGACGAACAGGCAACGTACTTGGCCGTAGTTGACGTGTGAAAAAAAATTGCAATTAAAGATGCATTAATTTTTGAACAAATAGGAATTTCGTAAAGAACGTGAGTTATAATTTTTAAAACGCAAGTTATAAATTTGAATTATTTTTTTTATAATAATCCGGGCATTTCAAAATAATAAGGTGTAAAAGATATTATATAAAAAATATTATATAAAAAAAATTATATAAAAAATATTATATAAAAAATATTATATTAAAAATATTATATAAAAAATATTGTATGAGAAATATTATATAAAGGATATTATATAAAACTGCGTAATTATAATGGTCAAAATAATTTTGAAATAATTGGTTGAAATGTTTCTGAGAGGCAATATCTTGATACTTTTAATAAAAATTCACATTCTCATATAGTATTTTTTTGTTTTAAATTTAAATTTGCTATGCAAGTTGAGGGGATATTCCAGTTTGTAAAATGTCAAGTATATCTTTCTAAATAAAAAATCTTACTAGGTTACACAGTGAAAAACTCAAGTCCTTTTGATTTGATTTGATTTGTTCATTTACGTCGCACTAGAGTTGCACAATGGGCTATTGGCGACTGTCTGGGATGCATCCCTGAGGATGATCCGAAGACATACCATCACTTTTTTGATCCTCCGCAGAGGGGATGCCCCCCCCCGCTTCGGTAGCCCGACGACCTGCACGCGAAATCAAGAACTTTACGGTAGAACAGTTTAACGAGGACCAATACCGCACACCCTCGGTCCCAACGTAGACTGATCCAAGTGGTCATCCTTCATCCACCAGCACACTGATCGCAGCCAGTGATGTTTGACTTCGATGATCTGCTGGGAACCGTGTCTTAACGATCAGTCTACTGCGAGACTCTGATATTAATGCAGGGGATAAGTTAAGATTAAAGGACAAGGCAATCAAACTTAACCAGTTGGCGGTCTAACAATCGTCGAGAGAATATTTCTCCTCAATACACTATTTCCCTACTAAATAATATGGAAAAACCGATTTTGCTATGCGGCAGAAGCTGCAGGTTAAAATACGATCTTTTACGATGAATGAGAATTGAGAAGAGATAGAAATAAGGATTTACGGAAGAAAAAAAAGATTCTAAGTATTTTTATTTAACTGCCAAATTCTCACGTAAGCATTTACTTATAATTACTGTAAAAAGGTAAAAATACATAAAAACTGTAGCTCATTTCCACCCAATTTTAATTTAAAGAATTAAGGTTTTTTGTTTTTCTCGATCGCAACTCTCAAATGCGCCACCTGGGAAGAAGACCGGTTCCATGTCTTCACCCTCCTCCTCTTCTCATTTGCTTAGGAATGCGCAGTGCTTCAAAAAATGGAGCACCTTGAACTAATGTTTGATTCTTCATCTTCTAGGACTATACCTTAATGATTCGCACTTTCTCTGAATAAACCTAAAATTTTTCTGCAAGCCGTTGAGACGATCTTCTTGTCAGAGCTGAGACCCTGCAAAATTTTATGACGTCACAATATAACAGTATATTTTTAAATGAGAATTCTCAACCGTTTTTTCGGGTAGAAATAAGTAGCTAAAAACTTACAAGCAAAACAAACCGATTAGCATGCTTTAAAACTTGTATTAAAACTGTTTATATATAATGTCTATTTGGAATCAAAAAGTACGTAAAAAAAAAGCAAGAAGTTTTGAAATTAAGTTAAACTAATAGCGATGAATATAACTGCTTGAATTTAGAATATAAATCTGATAACTTAATAAATATGAACTTTTAAAAAATTTCATGTGCAGTACTCAAAAAATTCATTCCTGTTAACGATTTTAATTAGTTATTAAGAAAATTATTTAAGGAAGTATGTTAAAGTTGTTTTTGAAATTAAAATAAATTCTCTGGGGTGGAGAAAATTGTTTGAAATAAAAATAAGTCAAAGTATTTCATTTTAATATTTCAGATCAGTGTGCGATAATTTAAGGGATTCGTTATTTTGTAAATATTACTAATTAAAGAAAAAAAGAGTACTACTTTTTCAAAATTTATGTTAATTAATATTATGTACAAGATGTTTTAATTGTGAATGTTTCGGACCATTTCAGATAAAAGAGTTTGATCCTAAGAGCTCGACTTACATTGAACTTCAAACTGTTGATGAAGCTGAAGCTTTAGTGACAACGTATCCTAACAGCTCTAAAGCTTGGATATTGTACATTATCTACTATTTAAATCATGTTGAACTGAATAAAGCAAGAGCCATTGCTGAGAAAGCTCTTCAAACTATTAACTTCAGGTATTTTAATGGGAATGTATTTATCTTATTTTATACTATCCTGTCTTAGAATTTCTTCCTTCTTTTTTTTGCATTTATTTGTAATTGATTTAAAATATGTTTCTTATTAATGTTAAGTTATTTTATAGTGATTCTTACTAATAATTAAAATGTTTTTTTAACATCTTTTATAATTTGTGGCGTAACTACCACTATAAATATTAAATATCAATTCACTAGTATATAAGGCATGCTAACTTGAATCCATCTTGAGGTACCTTTTGGTAGATGAAGGTTGACATAGTCTATAATTAACTCCCTACATTGGTGACCTGCGGAAGTGATATGAACTCGCCAACATGATGAATGGTCCACATTAAACAGTTGATTTGCTTAATGTATATTGCTCAAAGGAAAAAAAATGAGCAAAATGCTATAAACAAAACTCTATAAATTAGCAAATTGCTATATAAGCAAACAAAAAAATAATAATAATTCTGAGCGAAATGCTATAAAAATTAAGAAAAAAATAAAATGAGCAAATATGATATAAATAAATAAACTGCATAAATCAACTAGTGGTATTCATTAATCGAATTCTATCACAGATAAAATTCTGGAAGAGATGTCTAGTAGAGAGAGTAGGTAGTTTATATGCATTTAGCTTACTTAACAGTTTACATGAATTTACTTTTTATCCTCTTGCCACTTTTAATTTTTGCCATTGTAGTAAGTAAAATAAGATGGCTATGTTCAAATCTTGTAACTCTAAAGAAAAATCTTAATTTTTTTTATTTATTNTTTCCAAAATATGGTTTGATTGTTTTAGGGAAGATTTAGAAAAGTTAAATGTATGGAAAGCCTTATTGAATATTGAAAGCAAATATGGATCAAGTGATACATTTGAAAATGTCCTCAAGCGAGCTTTACAATATCAAGATCAACTAAAAGTTTACAAGCATGTGATAGATTTATATGTCAAAAATGAAAAAATTGAGGTACTAATTTCATAATTACTTTATCATTTAATATCTTTTTTATTCGTTGTCAATTTCCAATTATTTATTGCTATTTTTATTTATTTATGTAAAAAAGAATAGGGGCTATCGAAACAGTATTTATAGAATTAAATATTTTAAAGTAAAATCTGTACTTTTTTTGTACAAGAAAAAGGTTAGAAAATATAACATACTAAAGAAATATGTTTGAAAAAAAATGTGTTTCAACATTTTAAACGTTAGTTATTTGCTACTTGTTAAATTCTGTTATAATTTTAATTCCACTTCTAAAAGTGAACTAATATCATGTGTAGTTCAAGAGAATGCATGCAAAGATTGTGCATATTTTTCACAGTTTGTTGTGATGAAATATAGAGATTCCACTAAAGAATTGGTGGCATTTTCAATGGGTTTTTGATTCTGAACATAAGGAAACAGATGATCTATGATTCCAGGGTATTTAAAAAAGAAATTGGAAATTACTTATAAAGATAGAATTTTTTTTTTTTCTCCCTAGGGCAAACCTTTGAGAGCCTACTTAATTCAGAAATTACTGTAGCTGTGGTTTGAGTTTCTGCTCAATTTAGGCACGATTTATGATAACTTTCTAGCTTTTACAAAAAAGATAAATTTGTTTTCCTATCTTAGGAGTTTTATATTAAGTTTTAAAATAAAATTATAAAAGAACTTATATTGTATTTCACTTGGTTGTGTCACAATTGCAGGCATGCTATTCTTCTGCTAATTTGCAGAAATCCGCTGATCAATTATTTATATTTCGACACAATTTTCTCAGAGCTCTGCTAATCTAAAATTTAATTTTTGATACTTACACAAAATTTCGTGATTGAGGCATTTATTCCTCCCTTACCACCAGCTCTCTCTTTTTTTTCTGAGTTCTCAGCCTCACACAATGATGATTTTTTTTAACGCTGATTTGTTTGAAAAAAACAAAACTTTAAGGAAAAAAGTTCATAACTTTGGCTTGAATTATTGAACTACTGAGGCTAACACTAAATTATAAAATTGGTATTGTTAAAAGTAATTCCAAAATGGCAAACATTTAAAAGATTGTTTGCTTTAAAAAAATTAAAAAAAGTGTTTGTTTTTTTTTAAACTTGTATTTTAATGAGTAGCAATTTTGTTAAATTCCAATTTTTAACAGAAGAATTATTTAATCAATGTGATATATTTGTCCCCTTTTTTATTTGGCCACAATTATATCAAATTAATTTTTAATATGATATTACAACATGGAAATCTCAAATCGCCTTTGTAAGTAATCACTTTAAATGCCATCGAAACTCCGTGTTTTGATTTCATTATTAGGTGGGGGAAAAGTTCTTTTTCTCTCTTTAAATTTTGTAAATATTACCTTTTGTGCATAAAAATGAAAAGTCTTTTAAATATCTTCTTTGTACAAGAGGAAAAAATTTCAGATAATTTCTTCTTCCAGCAATGACATGTCTGCTATTGTATTATAAAGTGAAGTTCTTCGCTTTATGATTACACATAAAAAGAAAATTCTATTTTTTTGTAAAAATTCTTGTTTATTTAAAAGAAAGTTTCTGCCAAACTTCAGATTAATAGTCAACACTAATTGATTTTGTTGTATTAGGTAAATATTTACCATACAATATATATTAATGGTAAAATAAAATTAAATATTGATCATTAAATAGAGAAAATATTCATGCTGTTTGGTTTCTATTTTTTCTACTAGAGAGACATCAGGTTAATGTCTCCCTTTATTCAAAAAGTGAATAAGCTTAATATTAGTTAAATGAATGCATTAATTAAAAGGCCTCATTATAAGTGTTGAACACAATAACTCTGATAATCCTTCACTTAAACAGATTGGTACTTCGGGGGCGTCATTAGAGCTTGACTACATATTTGCCAAGGTAGGCACTTAAATTTTATCACATTGCAGTGCTAACATTGATTAAATTTTTGCTTTTTGATTCATTTATAAATATATATATATTTAGATACAATACGTTTCTTTAAGTGGTATTTATCTTATAATAATTGCAATATATTTTAATAAGTAAACTTACTTATAATTAGTTTTAATTTTTAAACATATATAAATAATGTGACAAAGATATTCAAATTTACTAATAAACAGTTCAATTGTTTGCTATGGTTATTTTTATTTCATGAACTACTTGGCAACTAAATCAGCAGATTGACTTTGTTTTGACACTAACTTTCTTTATTTTTCACATTATTCAATGGCCCCTGTGAGGAAAAAGTACCAATAAATTTTACTTTTAAGTTGTTAATTATAAATTATCAAATATATTGAACTTACCAAAATAAGTACATAAAGTATTTTTCTGTTTATAGGAATTAGAAAAACTGTCTACTGTAGTTCTGAAAAAATTTAAAAATGACAAGGATATTTGGTTGCAGTTTGCCACTTTTTACATGCAAAAAGGAAAGTTCAAGGAAGCTAGAAATATTTTAACCAGAAGTTTACAATGTATCTCAAACAAGGAATGTAAGCAAACATAACCTTAATCTTTATTTTAATAACTTTTTTTTTTAATTATATTTTAATCATTTATCATACAATAGCTTGACCTTATGAAAAATAATGTATAATTGCTGTTTTACTGCCACAGCCTGTTTTATTACAATATATTTTTGCTAACATGTATAATATTTTTAACTTTTATAGTACTGAGTTTTACGAGATATAACTTAATATGTATCATTGCTTATAAAGAATTATTATTATAAGAAATAATAATCTATAATGATTGCCTCAAGATAAAAAGAATTAACAAATCACCTTTTATTTTACTAGAATGTTACTCCTAACTAGAATGCTACTCCTACTTTATTTTACTAGAAGTTCATAAGAAAATCATTATTTTTTTCAATCTCCTATTTTTAAAATGAAATTAAAATTCGTAAATTTATTCTAATGATATAACTCAGGTTGATTGTACATTTTGCAGGTGCTGATGTTTTAAGTAAATTTGCTGATTTAGAATATAAACATGGGGACTTAGAAAGAAGTTTCACTATGTATGAAGAAATTTTAGCCAAGTATCCTAAGAGAAAAGACCTAAAATCTATCTACATACAAAAATTAAAAGCTCAAGGACAAGATGAAAGGGTTCAAGCTTTACTAATTAGTGATTAAACTATTAAATTGTAATCATGTATATAGCAAACATGTATATAAATTATAAGTAAAGATTTTATAATAATTTACGATTCTGAATTATTTAAAGCATGTTTTATGATTCGTTAACAACAAATATTTTTATTAAGTTAAAATTTTATTATCTCTACACATAATTTTTTTTTTTTTAACCTTGCTAATCGTGAGTTAATTATTAATTATGCTTAAAACATAGTTATTGAAGTATTTTAAAGATAAAAAGAAAACTAATTCTAACCAGTTCAGAATATTTTTGCATGTACACTTCACAATCAATTTTATATTAATTCAGTGGGTTAATTTTATTGAAAAACAGATAGTTCAAATTAGTATTGAGTCTCCTTGAATTTTGACTACTGTAGAGATGCCATTTATTAAAGATTTTCTAGAATTCAGAATAACAAAACTCTAGAAAACTATATCAATGTTTAATATCCACATATTTTATGGACCTTTAGTTATTTCTTGATTGTTCACTGTATAAGGGGGAGAAAAAATTAGTCTCATTTTTTTTTTTCTCCCAATTAGGACAAAAACTCACTTTTTTTGTATACGTGCAAAATTTTCAGGTAATTAAATTAATGACTATTTTTTTACATTTCTGATTGTGTACCTTCATACAATAAAATACATTGATTAATTATATTTTTTAGGAAAATCCTAACTTTTGAATATAAAATATATTTGAAATTTATTAAAAATGTTACTTCTTGTATATGTTTTTAATTTTCTATAACAATTTTAGATCTCATTTATTATGCAATTACCAACTTTTTTTCTTCAATTACTTATTTATAAAATTAAATGTGTAAATTTTATTATGATTTCTGTTATGATTAAGTAGATTCTAAAGATAAATATTTCATGTAAATTAAAAGTATGTACCTAATTTTTACACAAAGGTGAATTTAGGATTTGATGATTATCACACATTGGTTATTAAATGAAAATTGTCTAATGATCAGATACTGTGCATCCACCACAATCAAATAATTTTATCCTTTATAATGCAATATTATGTTTAGACAATTGTTAGGGCATTTTTTTCCCTTAGAATTAAAATAAAACAGGCTATGATAAACAAATTAACAGTGAATCTATACATAGTCTCTGGCAATAGTTTAAATTTAATAGAATTTATTGAATACAATGTGGTATTTTACATAAAAGGAAAGAAAAAAAACAGCAATAAGTTAAGTAAATATTTATTGTTGAGTGTAAGTATGTAAATAATATCACAAATTAGTGATAAAATATAATTATAAACATTATTTTCAAATCTTTTTTTTTATTGTTTTTTTAAAAAAAAGAAAATGCATTAAAGTAAAAAATAAAATAAATATTATTATCCATTCATTTTGAAGTCTAAATATACCATAATAAAAATATTCTACAAACAAAACAATAACAACGGTTTTGGCAATGAATTTCATTCATTTGCCAAAAGTTTTTCCAATATATTATTGTAGTAATCACCAAACACCAGCTGATTGTGTTTCACAAGTGAGAAAAATTGTCCAGTGAATGCAGAAAGTTCATGTTGTAATGATGAAAGACCAGGTGGTATTCTCACAGCAGATTTAGTGTGCAGCGAAAGCTCTATGAACTCTAATAATCGTTTTGCTATAAATATAGATAAAAATGGTATATTATCCTTAAATAAATAGACTCTGGATTTATGAAGTCTTTTTTTTTTATTGATATTAATTATTTATCAATTGAAAAATTTTAACATACAAATTGAAAATAGTTAGTGACTGCAAAGTTCAAAGTTTGTATCATCTGATCTGATAAAGCAACTCTGATTATCTAATGATTTCGAACATAACTCTGGTCCTGTGGGTGCTGGATAATCATGGTTCCACTGCATTTAAAAGAAAATTTGTATTCAAAATAGTTGTTTTAAAATATTTAATATCAATAAAAAAAATTAAAAAATTTTACCAATGCCTGCCTAGTATGCCAAATTTAATATAAATTATGTTCCAAAAAATTCTCATTTAAGAAAATATCTTTAGAGTTTAAGCTACTACTAATAAGCCTTCCGAGTGATGCTCAAATGTTAACTAGTTATTTTATTTTTTTTAAAAAAAAACTAGCAATTAAAACATTTTTAGTAAAATTTAATTTACCAAGTTTAATCTTTTTAACTGTATTTAATGAGAGAAATCAATGTTATCTTAAATTCAGACATATTTTTAACGCTTTTATAAGCTTATTTCACACATTGAAAATCAGTAACATGCTTTTAAAAAAAAGTGAAAACTGATAGGTCATCTCTCTAACTTAACAGATTTTTCTTCATTCGCTCGAAACACCAACAGATCAGTTTTGGGTAGTCTCAAGCAAGAATTATTTGACATAAAAAAAAAAAAAATTTCTACTCTTTCGTAATTTCATATTTGCATCATCTTTAGCCTAGCATTTCAAACCTATATATCTAGGTTTTATTGCAGCGTTATAAATAGCAATAATTTTTTACAATACAGTATAAGAAAGACAGCTTTCAAAAAAAAAATACAGTCGGACCTCTATTTAACGAAGTCGCTAAATCCCGAAAAAAAGTTTTGAAATACTTNCAAACAAAAAGGGAAAGGAATTTTACTGCTTTCTCTAAAAGTTAAGGGGATGCGAAAATCAGTTCAAGGTCATTTCCCCCATAAAATGCGTTAACTAGTTAATAATTTTCTCAAATATTTTGGGAAATGGGGAAAGTAGATCTAAAAAAAAAATTCGTTAAATAGAAAATTCACTTCGCTATTTAGAAGTTATTTAACGAAGAAATTTCCAAAATGTTCTTGGTTCCACGAAAAAATTCGCAAAATAGAGAAATTCGTAAAATGGAAGTTCGTTAAATAGAAGTCCGACTGTATATATATATATATATATATATAAAGAAAGAAATTGTGTAAAACAGAAATATTAATTAGAATATTAAGACTTGGACAATTTGATCATGGAAAATGCAAAAAACTGGGGAAATGAATTATTTTATATAAAATATGCTTAAAGTCAACATTTAAAATAGTACACATCTCTTCTATTTTATCCTTAAAAAGCAAGTTTTCTTATGAAATGGGTTTTTGTTATTTATAATAAAATTGTTTTTACTCCAAAAAATTCAAGGAGTATTTTCACTCTCCGAAAAAATTTTAGCTACATCTCTGATTAAAATTACATTAATTCAATTTAAGTTTGAAAATCTCAGGGAACTTTATTTTACTTGGAATGTGACCATCCTTGGTCATTACAACAGATGCCATGTTAAAAGTATCCCTTATTTTTTCCTCAAATACATTGTTTATATTAAAAGACACCATTTTTTTAAATATATATATATACATTCATTTTTAAAAATAATAGAATAAACTCACTGAGAAGTTGTCGCACATGTTGATCTTCATTCGAAATATTTTTAATTGATGAAATCAGAAGTGATTCCTTTTCCTTGTTTAAAATTGGATATCCATGAGATTGTAAACATTCATTCACTTCCTTAGAAACTTGCAAACCAGCTGCTTCCATTTTTGACTCCAAATCGCTTGAACTATTTTTATATTACATAAATAATTTTTTCACAGATTTTTTATAAAACATATATAACAAATAATCACATCAAACTAAGTACTACAATTAAATATGAATATAGATTTAGTTATGATTATCGTAATTTAGAGGATCAAATTTAAAATATTGCGCTTTTTAATAAAATAGCATTGGAAATTTCTTGTTAAAAGTAGCATTGATTAATGTATATTTATTGGGGGATTAAGAAGAAAATTAAATTGGCTCAACAAAAAAAACAGTTAATTAAGATTTGTAGCAGTGCTGCTATATCTTAAAAAACTTAAATTTTAGTTATACATATTACTTTTTTTTAATCCAAAATTAATACATTAGCAATAAATATATACTTTATACCTGCCAAATTTTCAAGGACATTTTTTAGATAAAATTTATTTATATTATTATTATTTATATTACAGTTGGTATTACATACTTTTCAACTACCCACGCTTATGAAAAGAGATTTTTCTGAAATAATAAAAATGATAGTAAAACTTAACAGTTAGCATTTTATTCTGGATTAATTAAATTTTATTTGAAACAATTTTAACTACCAATATACACAATATGCTGGTAAAACTCAAAATATCTCTGTTTATTTTAATTAATGTTTCACTACTACCTTTAATATTGTAAGGAGGTAAAAATGTAAGGGTTAAAAGCTGTAGTGTAGAATGAAATCCAGAAATTTAAAAAATAATAAATGTCTTAGTAATTAAAGTTTACTAAGTTACCTACTGCTTTTTAAATCTAGCTCTCGTGAAAACAAAATTAAAAAAATACTTTTCCCTTCACCAGACAGCGAAAAATGTTCCTTATCATTAAAAACAATTCAATTTTATTTAAAAATAAACAAACATACCTGCATTGTGGTGCATCAGCCAATATAATCTGCAAATGCTTTTTTAAAGTTTCTTTAAAGTCAGTGATGCCTTGAATAGCTGGACCAACTATAGAATATGTCACCAATATCACAGTAGCAATTAATATCATCACAGTAAAATTATGCCGTAGAGTGATAAAACGCTCGTGGTCCAGATGTAAAGTCTATTTAAAAAAAATTTATAACTTGAAAATGTGTACTTTTTATAAAATAAAATATTGTCTAAAATACAGTGATTTCAAACAAGCCTTCTATTTCTCACTAAATTATGCAAGAGACATCTAGGGTAGAGTTCAGATAATCTGAGCTAAATATGTGTGATTTGTAAAACTAGATGTTTCATAATAATAAAGCGTCAGCAACAGAAATATTTCAATACATAATTTAGTAGCCTGTACATCAATATGTGTCACCTTTGTTAGGCAAAAAGGAAAGTGCAAATTCCTAACTATGCAACTTTGGCTAATGGTTATAAAATCAAAATGACATGAATAGCAAAAGATTGAAAAAAGTGATAATTTATAAGTCAAGATTCACACAATACAATATTGAAACATAATGATTCATCAAACAGAATGATTCAGTACTTTAGTGTAAACAATTTATACTTATCCATTAATTCGAATGCATTTTTATTTATTGGCATAAAAATATTTCATGTAAATTTGGATAACATTAATTTTTGGTCATCTGAACCAGCTATGATTTTAATTGATTTCGATAATAAGTTCTGTAACCAGAGTTTTTCGACCGTTTTTTTTTTTAACATTATCAAAATGTTCCACTTCTTAAAATCAATTGTTATTTTTTATTTGACTTTAAATTTTTTTATAACCCTACCAACAAAACTTAGTATAATTCTGTAGTACTGAAAAATAGATAATTTATTACAGATTACTTAAGTGGGTTCGATGTTTATATCAAATATATTGGTTCTGGAATTTTCTAAGCTAGTTCTATATGTATATTTTTTGGAGCAAATCAAGTAACTTAAAAGAAAATTAATAAACAGTAGCTCTGTAATAAGTTGACCTGCAAAAGGTTTGCTGAATTTATTTAAAATGAATTATTATAAAATGATACTGTAACTTAAAAATTTAAAAAGAAAAAAAAATTATATACATTTTTTGAATTTCAAAAACAACTGAAAAAAGACAGCATATTTCTCCGACTCCAATCTCTGGTCATAGAAATAAATTAGAAACTTTTCATTAATACCTGCAGGAAAAGACTACATTAAAGTTATAATTTTTCATTTTAATTAATAGCTTTATTATTTTGCTTCGTAAGTTTTCTTCATAACTAAAATTATTCTCTTATAAAATAAAAATTGATATTTAAACCTAAAAACTTTTATACATAGTAATATCCATAATATAAATATATTTTATTTTTAAAAAATATTTATTAATAGAGAAACTAATTCTAAAGTAAAAGACATTTCAATAAATACCATAACCTTTTGCAGATTTTCTAGTTTGAGTTAATCATTTATTAATATTATAAAAATCTGTATTGACTCTTTAACGATCGGTTAATTTTCAAAAAAACGGTCATAAAAGTGCCTATTTTTTTATCCCTGAAAATTATATAAAAATATGTGTATGAACAATATATATATATTCATGTCCAATTTTTGATTTGTTTTTAGCTTGAGATTTTAAAAAATTAAATGTTTAAGAAAAGCCAACATTACTATGATAACAGGGTTACTATGACTTAATGTTGGTTTTCCAGCAAGCAAGGAAAATTAGAAAAATATGTGTTTTGAACATTAAAAAAAAAATTTATTAAACTTACGTATAATATAAATAAAGAAAAGTTATTTTTTCTTGAGTTATAAATTTCAAAGCATGAGATACAGATGCCAACATCACAATCTGGACAGTAGTATCGAGTTTCCTTCCTACATCACTTATTGTTAATAGAAAATAATTTAAAATAAACTAATTATCTACAATTACCTTAAAAATATCTTGGTACTGCCATCTGGTGTGCAAAATCAGAAGAAGAAAAAATTTCTGGGCAAAAGATATGAATTAGTTTTATTCTTATTGGCGCGTTACTACTGAACACTCCAGCCAGGAAATATCACGGGAGCAAGGAATAGAAGGCAAAACCTCACCCCGTCAGGGGTTAAGAAAGTAAACATTTTCATAGCATTAAAAAAAAAAAATTTAACTTCATCAACTTAGTGTGTTAGAATGTAAACCCACAATTTTGACAAATGTGATATTCCTCAAGAAATTCCCCAAACCTAAGCCCACAGGCACCATAATGTCTGCAGATCCTGCTGTTGTGTGACAATGTAAAAACACTCAGTTTTCTATTAAATGTTATATAACACTGTAAATTTCAAATATAAATTCACCTTGAAGATATAAATGGTGCTGTTATTCTAGAATGTGCACTTTTGGTACAAAAAGGTTACAAATACTGTACTATACATAAAATTTAAGTAGCAAATATATAATTTACGTACAAGTTTTAAATAGCAAAATGTAAATTTACCTCGGGAAAATTCTCAGTTTCTTTCCATATTAAAATTTTAATGTATGCTTTGCTGATTAATGTAGAAATAGTAGGTTTTGCATCACCAGATTCAGCAACAGTCTCTGTATAAGCCTTTTGAAGCCACAATCTAGTGAATTTCAACCCATCAACAGGTGGTGTCAAACCTATTAACCAACAAAATGTTTTCAAATAATAGAAAGATAATGAATATTGTTTTTTCTAATCTGAATTAAAGAGAGAAAAAAATGAAGTTAAACATTTACTTATTAACTCTAAGTTTGAATTCTAATAACATTTTAAAATGGTACTTATTTCATTCAAAAAGCATTTTTGTTTGATCAAGATTCAATTAGAATTTTTAGTTAAGTAGAAACTATTCACTTATTGACTGAAGAGTGTGACTTATTTATATTAAAATACCATATTAGTCGAAAATGAAAAGATTTTCAATCAATTATACTGAAAAGATATCAGCAAAAATTTAGTGCAATATATTCTAAAAAATACACATTTTTTTAAAATTTTATTATGTTTAAAATTATAACTAAATTGAACACATAAATATACCAGGTACCAATTAAAACTTTATATTCATCCTCTTTAACTTTTAAATAGCTGAAACCATAGCTATAAAAGTGGTGTCTAGAAATAGTAAAATGGCTGTACAATAGACACCTTGCGGACATTTATGCTAGAAAAAGAATGCTTAAAACATGCATTTATTAGATTCTGATTCCCTTCACCATGACAAAATTAGGAAGAAGAAAAAAAACTAGTTATCACAGGATATCTTTATTTCAGAAATATGAAGCTTAAGAAAGGTTTGAAAATTAAAATTAAAGAAATCTTACGGTAACAAATTCGTTCTTCATAACATTAGTTACTGAATAAAAAATTCTGCATTTTAAGCATTCTTTTCTTAACATTATTATTCACAAGTTGTCTATTCATACTAAATTGATGATGCCCTACAACTTTGTAATACACTTTTTTCTATACCTGGTACCATTTTCGAAACAGAGAAACATTTTCCACTCATCTAGCAAATTGCCATTTTGCTACACTTAGACACAGCTTTTACAACTATAGCTACAACCATTTGAACAATAAGAGATGAGAACTTTAGTGATCATTTTGAATATATGTGGTCATACCAAAAACAACAAAAATGCAGAATTAACATAATTTAAAATGTTTTGTACATTTCTTATATTTTTTTTTTATTTTCTTTCATTTTTACAAAACAAAATCTGTCATTTTAATTAAGAAAATTAAAAAACTTGGAAATTAAGGCAGACAATGATATGTTTGAGAGTTGAAAACTAATGTACATATTTTACGATAGGTACAAAGAGAATATTAGAATAGATTAATCACAAGTAAATTTTGTAGCTTAACTGAATAAAGAGCCTTGATAGCACAGTGGTAATTAAAGTAATTAAACGTCAATGTGCTACAGCTTGTAGCAAACACAGCTTCAGATAGATAGGTAGTCTGGCAAATGAAGACAATTACATTAGCCATATTGCCCCATCAATTTGTTTCTTTATCTCCATGACCCTCTTACCAACAATTGACTGTTACAGAGAGCTTTACTTTAAATTACAAATAAAAATATATATTTTTCTCATAACAAAATTTAAAAAATTACTAACAATAATAAAGGCTTTTTAGAAAACTGAAAATCTAATAAGACTTTATTGACTAATATAAACTTTTCAAAAATGACGAAACACTCACTTTCCAAGGAACGTATAATTTCTTGAAATTTACTTTTTTCGTACTCAACTGATTGTTGTTGGATATGAGGCCGTATGTGAGAAATAGTGAAATTCACCATATCCAATTTCATGACATCCAATGTTTCTAAGATACCTCTATAAATATTTAAAAAAAAGATATTATAAAAATTTAATTGATATATAAATTTAAAAACCTATTTAAACAAACACACAAAAATTATTTATTTAGTAAAGATAATTACTTATAAAGTGGAACTATTTCTGTAAGCTGCCGAAGTTCTTGTATTTTAGAATCTCTTGCTGGGCAACATATACGAGACATAGTGGAAATTATAAATTGTGCATAACTTAATACATCTATGGCGCCATTTTTAGCTTGTTGCTCTATCAGATCAATATCTAACACTTCATTTATTTCGTTTTTCAAGCGACTGTTATGAGGTAATAATAGCCACAAAAGAATCTGAAAATAAATTTTACTTTATTATAAAAATGCAACAATTTAAATTTGAATGTAGTACAAAATTACGAAGTATGATGAAATATAAATTAAAAAACTGACTGCTTTCAACTTCTTTATCAATTCAATAAAACAAACAGTAACTGCAAAATAATTTTTAAAGAAATGTAGTAAAAGTCTAAATTATAAAGTTTTAATAGGTTATTATTAGACACTAAAATTTTAGACCATTTGGAAGAGAAAGTTTCTCAAAAACTGAAATAGAAACAAACAAATCAAAATAAAAGATATAAAAATTTAAATAGAATGGTTTTATTAGTTTTGCAGCAAAATACTCTGCAGCTCATGCTATTTATTAAAATAGATAACAATAGAAAACAAACACAACTGTTGGTAAAATATAATTATTTTTTTATCACGGTTTAAAAACATTTTTGGTGTAACATTTTCAAAGAAAAAAAAATTTCATTCTAATAGAGTTTTAAAATTTTAATTAATCTTTTTACAATAATACAGCAATAACCAATAATGCTTTGATTTGAGGAACAGCACAAAGAACAGCATAGATATTAGATTAAAACATTTATTAAAGTAAAATAAAACTTTAAATCAATGTCATTTATGATTATTTAAACAACATATGTTTAGTTAAAGACAAATTAGTCATCGGAATTTTAATATCATAAAATAATCGAGAAATATTAATACTTCGCAATTTATTGCATTTACGTTATTACATTAAGATACTTTTCTAAATAAATCAGTATTTTCTTTAACTAAATCAAAATTATATCTCACAATACCATGTTTGATGATTATTAATAACAATAATACGTGTCCTATTATCATATTCATTATTTACCATTGTCGTTAATGATTGCAATATTATTGTATTTACTATTTCTTGTTGTCAATAATCATTATAACTGTCGAATATTATAACTGTCGATTCACTATTCATTTAAAGTCATGGTATTCACAAGATATTATAATATGACATGTTTAAAATATTGATGTACTTTAGTATTCATAATATACATTTTAAAATATTCATATTTACATACTATTGATATTTCAGGATACAATACTATATAGCCTATCTCTAATGAAATTATGTTTAAGAGCATAATATTACAATTTAACACGGTATTTACCTCCTTAACTTCTTTTAATAATATCATAGCATGATGATAATCTGGAGGATCGCTAGCAATTCCATTATTCAAAACGTCCCAAAACGCTCTGTGACAGATTTCACTTACTCTTTGCTCCAAACTGAAACAAATATCATTATAGCAATTGAACACAGATATTAGTAATAAAGAATATTTATTAAAGTTTCATGATCTAGAATATTTATCAGCAATAACAGATACTAAACAAAGTTTACAAAGTTCAACTAAATTTGCTAAAAGTAAACCAGTTGAAAATAAGAGCAAAATAAAAATTGAACAAGAGAAAAATCAAATGTAATCTATGAAGTAAAAGACATTAAAAAATAATTACATAAACTTCAAATTTACAAATCTAAGGCATTAAAAAGGTTACACTGGAAAAAAATAACATCTCTGCACTTCTCCATATTTTCAACATTTTAAAATCAAACAGTTAAACTTTCAAATAAAAATAAAAAAAATTACATTTTGTTATGCCAGATTAAATAATTTTGAATGCACTAAAATATGTAAATTAAGTTAAATTAAAAATAATATTTTTGACATAAATTGTGATACCTAACCTCACTCTTGAAGAAAATGCCTGACTTAAGTTTTTATATTTTTGGTAAGAACTAAAATGTAAAATTTTTTTTTATCATAAATTAAAATCTTTTGAGCCTAATGAAGTTTAAAGCTGAAATAGTTAAATTATTTGCTGCATAAATCTAATTCTTAATACATTTTTAAGCAAAATTTTTAATAATTTTTATTCTTTTGCATAAATTTTAATTAAACAATAAAAATAGCTGAAATATTTAATAGATTAGTTCAAACAGAAAATTAAAATTCCCAAATTTCAAAAATCAGCAACACATATGCAGTGATTTAACAGATGAATCTCAAATTACTTAATGATGCAATGCAAAATAAAGCAAGAAATAAAAATGTTAAGAATGAAACAATTTAGCAAAGGAATAAGTTGGTAAGATACCCCGATTTAGGAGCATTTTGCTGCAATTTAAAATCCTTATTTACAGCTATTTCATGGGCAAGAGCCATATTGATTCCCGAGTTTGAGACATCTTCTGCTGCCTTTAATATTTGTTCAAGCGAAACAAAAGCTGGTGGAGATGCTGAAAGAAAATATTTATTTAGAATTTAAACAAACACAGTATATAATTCTGAACATGAAATGTATTCTTTGTAATAGGTCTCAAAACAGTTAAAAATAAGAATTCTAAAACAAGAACTTTTTGCTGCTATGTAAACAAATAATATAGAATTAAAATTGTTATGCCTCTTTTTTTTTTCAATTTTAATTGAACTTTATAACCTTATTCTACTAACTAATGATGAAAACTAATGTGGAAATCAAGAAGTAAAACTATTAATTAAGTGAAAAAGAGTTTGAAAAATTTATTAATTAGCAAAAATAAATAAAAATAGTAAATGTTTTAAAATCATAGGCATAAAAGGCTGCTGACTTTTAAGACAACCAAATAAAATAGCATAGAAAGTAAAAATAATTACCTTTTCTTCTTTTCAATTTTGAATTTTTTTTTTTTACTTACTTTTTTTAAATATTAACTATTAATTTCTATTAAAAATTTTTATCAAAATGAAGAATTTCTGAGAATTAATTAAATCTTTTTCACCACATTCAAAATGTACCTTAAAACTAAAAACTATTCCAGTTTTTAAACATACTAAATATTAAATTTGAATGGTTATAGAAATGAAATATTTTAGATTTTTGGGGATGCCGGCCAGGCCAAGTGGTTAGCGTGCCTGACTGCTAAGCCAATGGCTGCAGGTTCGAATCCCGCTCTGTGCATGGATGTTTCTCTCTCTCTCTCTCTCTGTTGTCTTCTGATGTGGGAATGTGGCCCACCCTATGAACGGGTATTTGTGGCAGTGTACCGTGGCTAATGTTGCTCGCTTCCGTGACTTTGGTTCACAGGTGCCCACTGGGTAACGATAAATAAGCAACACTTATGGCATCTTCTAAGACGAAGAACGAAAGTTCAGTGCCTGCCGTTATTTAAAAAAAAATATAAAAAAGATTTTTGGGGATGAGCATTCAACAAAGGTTTTGTAACAATTAATTATGTGTGAAAAACATGCTGACCATGGTTGTGTGCTAGATTTAGGATAAAGTAATAAATAACTAAAAGGCATATTCCATAAAAAATACTTTGCGTTTTGGTACTATAAAAAATATTTCTTAAACTGACTCTTTCAATTATAAAATACAAAGTAATTAAAAAGTTATACAAAATAAATATAAAAATTATTTAAACTTAAATAAAATCTAATTGCTTAAATTATTAACGGATATTTATTATATCATACAAATTACATGTTTTTTTACAAAGACCCTACCCTAAGTCTAATATACAACTAACAATGGATTATTATACATTAGTAAAGAATATTTCACGCCAAAGAAATCTTTACTTCGGTAGAGTTTTTTAATCAACTTACCAGGGACAATTGACGGAAATTCTGAATCTGAAGTTGTTCTTTGTCTAGTATTGCTTGTGCACTGGATATCTTTGGGGACAGATGAACTTCTTTCACCAGTACTTTGTTCTTTATTTGAATTAGCTTCATCCTCTTTCTCTTGGTTTGAATCCATGTTCTAAGTTAAAAAAATCAATCAAGTTTCATAAAATTCAAATATTAAGTTAGTTAAAAATACAAATATTCTCATAAAAAAATGTCTTAATATAATAACATCTTTGCATAAGATATTTTTCAAGAATGTTGAAACGAAACTATTAAGTCATGCTGTATAACTAGATGTATTTGGAAAGAGCACTGTACCCTGTCTGAATTTAATAAGGGAAAAATTGGAAAAAGGGTGTAAATAAGAACAAGAGAGATATAAAAGTTTAAATTTCTAATTACTTTTTTTTCTATTTAAAAAATTACTAAAGCAGCTGTTCTTTTATTTCAGATTAATCTTGCCTTCGAGAACATTTCCATATTGATATTTGTTCCCAACAACTGAAATAATAAAGTGCAACTTCTTGAACTTGTAATAAATTTTTTTAAAGATATACAGTGGTTTACCAAAGGGTAGCTACAGATTTTACACTTTGAGTTTTATCTATTTTGTGAAGCTCTTATTAGTTTATCATGTATGACTATTGGTTGTTGTTCAATCCTTGTTAACCATTTTAGCATGAATACTGATATAAAAATCTTCCTCTACACTTGTTCTCAATGAAAATAGTTATATTTTTTTTATCTTTTTCTTTAAATTTTGTAACATTTAACTTGAAGAAAAACTAAGTATCTAAAATTTATAATTTAGAATATACAACATTCAATTTATCAATGAAAACAGAAGACTTCATTAACAGAACTTGTTTTAAAATGATCATCAAAATTTTAATAACAGCGGGGAAAAGCAGCATGCAAGAAACTAAATAAAATAAAAAAATCACAGAATGAGGCAAATGCGAAAGGTAATACCCATAACTACCACTAACCAAATCATTAAATGCTTTTTTTAAATTTATGCAAAAATCAAGAAACCGGGCAAGAACATTTCGCACCTAAACGTTTCAGTTTGCATGAACAAATACTGATATGGAAATATCCCAAATGAGAATCGTTTTTTTTAATAATTTATCTTTCTTTTATTATTTTTTGAATAATCAATGATAATCCTTAGTATAATGATAATCCTTAGTTAATGGTTTTCAGATGACAAGATACAATTTGAGGCATATCATGCAGTCACATAAAAAAACTGAGAAAATGGCTCCAGCCAAATCCCTGCACAAAACCAGTAAGTTTTTTCAACGCATGCTAAATACATTTTCTAGTAATCACATTTAAAAGATTTTTAACATAAAAAATCCATAAAATGTTAGTAAATAGCGATGTTCTGACCAAAACAAGGAAAAATTGAAATATTGCTAATCATATGGAGTTTTCAAGTCAATAAATCACTATAAATGTATGCAACTAAACAGACTACAGATGTTCTAAAATATACAATGATTATCACTTTACGGGGACTTCCCTAATGATAATCAAATTTTATATAAAATACTTTGTTAAAAAGTATGACCATAGTTCTATTGACATGTTGAAATATGAAAATAGAAGTTTTAAAAGTTGTTAGATTTGTATTGATACTCTAAAATGTGTACTATGTATTATGGAGCATATTTTTAGTGAATACAAATACTAGTGAATGAATGAAAATTTAGTGAATGAAAAAAAATTTCTGTTGCCCAAGTAACTGTCACACTAGCTACTATTTTTACGCGCTCAATCTTTTAATGAAAAGCAAAACAACAAAGAAAAAATTTTGGAAAATAGTGTTTATTTGAGAAGTATTATATTTGATATATTTTTGAGATTAAAATCAAACCTAAAACTGGCTTATCACAAATTAGAACCAATCAAAACAGAAATTTAGAAAAGTCGAAATTTTAATTCTAATAATTTATTTAAAAAATTCTGTAAATTAAATTCGGAAACACAGCAGTTTAATTTTAGAAGAAGAACGTTTGGCATAAACACACGACAAAAATGAAGCAATTGAGTTCTATTTCTATAACATTCAATTTTATTAGTGCCCAAATAGGGAAATTCGTTTACTTTTGATTTTCTTAATAATCTAGAAACTATTTTGTATGCCTACTTCTGCCCGGATTAAAGATCATCAACCGAAACGATGAATTCAAACTTTTTCGTAAGATTCATGTGGTTGGAAACAATGAAGAGGTCGTGAGGAGTAGATACTGAAAATTAATTTCTTCGCGATCGCAACGCTTGACCCGAGTCCTCGTTAAACTGTTCTACTGTAAAGTGCTCGACTTCGCGTGCAGGTCGTCGGGCTACCAAAGTGGGGGTGCCATCCCCTCTGCAGAGGATCAAAATTGTGATGGCATGTCTTCGGATCATCCTCAGGGGTGCTTCCTAGACCGTCGCCAACAGCCCATCGTGCAGCTTTAGTGCGACGTAAATTAACTACAACAACTGTAATACTTATAGAGTATTCTTCTTCATATAGAATAATACATATTTCTGTATCTATATAATTCGTTGTTGTTAACTTACTTCGCACTAGAGCTGCACGATGGGCTATTGGCGACGGTCTGGGAAACATCCCGGAGGNGGAGTTCTCCTATCACCCACCATATTTACCCGACATTGCACCATCAGATTTCCATACATTCTGACAGCTACATTTTCCGTGAAATTTTTAAAATGTGGATGATATTCAAAATATCTTCCTTAGTTGTCTTGCTCAAGAAATGATTGGTTTTTATGATTACGGCATTTGAACTTCGTGATGACAAAAGGTTTCTAATGACGTGGATAGTGTATAATTAAAATCTGTTAACTGAGCGTTTGATTGTTATTTCCAATTTGTAATTTTTTGCAGTGTATGATGCTTTTAATCAAGTAATGTTTTACCGCTTCAATTTCTTAAGATTATTTAACGCATAACTTTGGAACTAATGATAGGTTCTTTATACTCAAGGACTCAATCTCAATGGTTCGAGGGGGTGACCTCAAATATGTTAATTCATTTGTGCAGACGACATTTTAAGTTAAATCAGCCGCAAAAACGTACTTTCTTTGAATAAATATACCTTTTTCAGTGGATTTGGATTTCTGAACCCCAAAATATAGGGGGTAACTGCAATCGGGGAAATATGATTCCCATAGTTTCTTTCATCAGGAGTGGAGAGCGATCCAAAATTGAATCCCTGAAAGTGAATTTTTCTTTTTGCGTATTTCGCTAATCTCGAGACCTTTTAAAAAGTATTGAAAAACTTATGCACACAATTGTAAAAGTCGTTTATCCAAAGATAATTCTATGCAAAAATAAATTTTAGTATATATTTATTTATTTTTTAATGATAGTAAAAAAAACTTTTTAATTGTATGGTATACATTTTTTACATCATTTTAAGGAATACAAATTTGAATGGCAAAACACAAAAAATGAGCTAAATTAATCGAGCAATTCCTGAGAATTCGCATTTTGAAAAAAGTTGTATTTTTAATATTTGATTTCTCATGAATTATTCGACTGATTTTCGATTGTTATTAAATAAAACAATAAAAAATAATAGACATTTTCTTAAAGTTGTATCTTGCATGGAATTATTTTTGGATATTTTAAAACTGTGGACAAAAATTTTAAAGTTACTGAGATAGGGCGGAATACACAAAAAGTAAAATTAACATTAACTGGCCAAACTTTGGATAACTCTCCTAGCCAAACTATTGGGACCATATTTCATCGAAAAAAAGGTATGCTTATTCATAGAAAGGCAGGCGAAAAAATTAAAAAGTGGATTAAGTCAAAGAAAATTAAAACGAAAATGAAAACTATAAGTAAAATATATAGTTAAAATTCTAATTTCCTAACATATTTTTTTGTGTAGTTATTCTAAGTATTTATGATTTTTAAAAATTATATTATCCTAAATTTAAATATCTATAAACAATTGTAAAATTTCTAATATTATTATGAACCTAAATTATTATTTTGTTCCAGTAATTAACGTTTAAGGATGTTTCCTAATGATCAAGTATGAACAAATTGCTATTAACAGCATATTTTAAAATCAGGATTCTAAATTTAACCCAACTTATTGATATCAAACAATATGTAGATAAAAAAGTGTCGATATATGCTTTAATTTTTCTTAACAATGAAAGTCAAAACTGAACTTTTAGTATTTATACTGTCATTTTCGAGAATTAGTAAAATATTTTTATAAGTTTAAAATGGTATTTTCTTAATATAATGGTCAAAGAAAGTTTTTTTGAATTATGTTTTTGAGCGGAAATAATGTGTTAATTGTGTAGTTTGAAAGCTAATATCAAGAAAATATTGAACTTATTTTTACAGAGCGAATGGATGCAAAGTTCTCATTATATCTTTGCTTGCGATCTCCGAGATCTCTGTACACAGTGACGTCCTTCTCTCTTTTCTTTAGCTCTGATACCCCCCCCCCCCCAAAAAAAAATATCTATTTTCTGTTCAACACTAAATTCGATTTCTAAGCGCATAATTAGTGTAGCATTCTATAATCTACATCAGCAAGCGTTATTCATTAAACTTTTATACCCTCATGCATTTTTTCACAATTATTTTGAAAATCGTAAATCTGAAATTTGACGGGTAAGAGTTAAGAATGGAACGATATAAATCGTTTTGAAGATATATGAGGCATCTTGAAGATATGCGAAATGTTTCATAAAAAACAACAAGAGAAGATGATTTCAGTACTTTATTGTAAGGACTGATTTAAATTCAAATAAATAATGCAAACATTTTAGAAACTTATATACAAAGTTTTAAAAAATAAATTACATAACACTTTCAGAAATTAAGAAATTAGTGCCATTATTTATATTTGGTGTGCAAATTAACATAATTTTATTTACAAAGTATATGCATTTGAAAATATATATTAATTTGGTATTTTATTTTGTATAATAATTAAAACTGCAACTTCAGCATGAATATTGATTTTTTCAATGACACAAAAATAATTAACTATATCAAAACTACACTAAAACAAAATAAGTAATAAATAAGCATTCTAGTTAATTCATGTAGCAAAAACAAGAAGTTTAGTAAAACGATGATTGATTACAAAATCTATTCCCTTAATAAATTTTATTAAAGTATTAAACAAAATTTGCATGATTTGAAATAAATATTTTTCTATTTAAATGTTGAAAGAAACTTTCGTTTTTTGAATTTCATTCGTACAATACTTTATCAATGTCCGGATAAATTTCATTCAGATATCACACAACTATCATTACTAGTTCTCTCTTTCACATCTAAGTGGCATTTATTATTTTCTATTTTGTGAAGATGAAAATAGTGGTACAAATTTCCTTCACATTTTGAGACGGTTTATAACAATATGAGGAATTATGAAAAAAAGAAACTAATATTTGAAAGAATAACTTATTTTCAATTTATAACGTTGCCACTTTCTCTGTTATCATATTTCAAAATTAGAATGCCAACAAAATTAAAGGAATGTTTTTAAATTTAATAGCAAGTAGAAATTATTTTAGGAATGTACAATATTAAAAATATTTTTATTTGAAACAAAAGGAACTGTTCAACAGTATAAGTATTTTTTTAAATAAATGCAATGTTAACAAAAAACAGAATGCTGATAATAATTAAACTCCTATTTTAACAAAGCATTAATTATTTTATAAACTGATTTAATATAATATTCATAAAATATTCATAACATAATTTTGAAAATTGTTTATATCATAATTCTTAAATACCTATTTAATATTGCAAATAAAAATAATTTTTAAACAAGTAAATTTAAATCCACAAAAAAATTATAACATATCTAGTCAAGTGTTTGATTTTAATATCAACATAAAAGATATAGGATCAGAAAATCAAAATATATTGCAACTGCGAATTTTTTTTAAAGAGAAATCATTTTTGCTTTAAAAGTAGTTTCTGGATAGAAATGTGAAATGGACTACAGACTAGAACTTATAATGTACAGGAACATATTTATTAAACTCTTTGTACTAAGGAAAATTGAGCTACATTTTTTAGAATCAAAGAAGCTTTAAACAAAAATTAAAAGCTTCTTTGAAATAATCCTGCTGAATTTACAGGTCAGATTTAAATAGATTACAGTGGGAAATAATTGGAGCATTTGTTAAATAAATCAGTTGAAGGCCCACCAATCAAACCAACTTATAAGTTCAGTTTATTTAGTTATACCTCAGTTATTAAACTGGAAAAAAAAAATGCTTAATTTAATTATATACATTGCATGATATCAGGCACCTTGTTTAAAAAGTTCGTTTTCAAGTTTTTAAATAAATATATTTTAAACATATTAACTCTGTTCAAAAGTTTTAAAAAAAAAGTATAACTGATTTGTGGTTGGTTAATCTTAGCTTACCATCACCAAAACTATTGTCAGAGTAGAAATTCAGAATAAGGGGGGAAAAAGCTGTTTAAAAATCATATTATAACAAATATTTTAATAGAATGTGCTTGAATTCCTGTGTTATTATGATTTCTTAAATTAAAAAAAAATTGCAATGGTTTTTAAGTTGTCCCTCTCCAATAAAATATGTTTACAGTGAGAGATTTTTTCCCTATCTGCATAATGTCAAAATTGCCCAAGGCTTTTCAGATTCTAGGTTAATTAATTGATTTCTAGATTAAATTCAATCAAAATTCATTGAAGTAGATTAAAATGCATTGACCCATTGGAACACAACTTAGAATCTTCATTAATTAAAACTAATCTTCCATTTCTGAATCCATAATCAAAACTAATCTTCCATTTTCAAAGTATTTGACTCAAGATTTAATTTTTAATTTGTAATACTAAAAAAAAAATTAACAATTTTTTTTTTTTAATATTTGTATAACTAATATCTATCTATACTACAATTCTGATTGACAGTTCAGATTTTGGGTTCAATTGAATATTCACATACTGATCCAAATTAGAGCATTTTATACATAATTAATCGGCAAATTCAAACCTTAAACAGATATATCCATTTACTACAATTTTGTTTTGCCGTAAAATAAGAATTTGGTACGAGCCATTGAAAAAATTTCAGCCATGACTCATTTTCCAGTTCCACCAATCAGGCTTTCAATAGAGTTATTGAATAAAGCTCATTCATTATAACTGCAATGCTGAATCGGTAAATAAACATACAAGTTTTAGAATCAAATAAATTATTATAAGTGATTGCACAATAGTAAGAAACAAGAAAATTAAAATTACTAATTTAATTACTGTATTTAAAAAAAATTAAACAAGGATATACAAATAAGATCGAAGATAAAAAATTACTTAATGAACATCAATTTCAGGGAGCTTTCACACTTTTATAAAATCAACAATTTTATTGCAATAAAAATTGTTGATATAATTTCCTCCAAATACATAAAATATAACTTTGAAAAATTAAAAGACTATCTACTTGATCTATTCAGGAGAACAATATGTGGAATATTTTGGAAATATCCAATATGATAGCTGCCAACATTTTAAACTGAAAACTTTTTGCATGAATAGATTATTGATTTAGCAATAAAAATAAAAACCTATATTCAAAGAATTTTTTTATAGACAAAACAGTGTTTTAAAAGAAAAATAATTTAATTAAAAATATAACATATAAAATTTTTTTTGCAAAGTTTGAATTGTTTTTAATTTACAGATTTTCAGCAATATGACGATATATATATATACTTCATTATATATATATTATGAAGTTTGGAAAAAAACATTTAAAGTTTCAGAGTTTATCAGGAAAAAAGATAAATATAAGGGTATAATGGCATCTATACATTAAGTAAAAAATGAACACGATTTTTGCATCATTTATTGTAAAAATTTAAGAATACTTTTTGCAATTTAGTTTCAATAATTTAGCTTAAATTTATTAAATAGTTAATGATAGTTAAAAAATAATTTAAATAGAATACATATAATTTCACACATTATTTTGATTTAAAGAATATATATTACATAAATTTACAAATATTTTAAAAACATAAATTTTACACAATTATACATAATGGGGACAAAAGATTATACAGAGATTTACATAAACAAAACAATACATAATGCAGTCATTTCTCTGAGATAAATCGCAGCTATCACTATAAAAACAGATTTTTCTAAATTTTAAAATAATTACACCAGAGTAGTTCAACCTAAGGCCAATGGGACAGAATCAAAAAAATAATTATAATATAGGGTTCTATTGATCTCAAACTGATAAGTTTTTCAAAGACTACCAAAACCTATAAATCTATCTTTCACTTATATTTTACAACAGCATTCGATGAATAATGTTGTAAAAAGCAAGTAATATTCAGATAAATTTATGATGACCTTAGCTTTAGCAATATATGTTTGATATCAATACACACTAAAATATCTATAATCTTTTTAATTTTCTTTTCTTTAATTTCGCACGTTTTAGTGGCTCTCCTTTCCAAGAAAGTTGTGTATACCTGAATTGATAATTTAACCATTATATCCTCATTAAATAAGTAAGCAGATAATTTACAATGGCTTAAGATTTAAAATCCGTTTAAAAATAAAAATGTTTTAACATAAAGAAAAGAGCTATAATTGTTGTTTCAGTGTTCAAATTTCAAAACCAGATTTTGCAATTGTACAAACATTGTTTAATTTTTTTTTCTTCTTTGCACATTTCCTATTGATTATTGAAAATTGTGTAAAACATATAAAAATATTCTTGAAGTCCTGATGTAAAGGTTTATGTTCTAAAAATTAATCTGATGCCCCTGTAAATTAATAATTAAATTTCTTAACTTACAACATCTTATATTTTGAAAGATTACCAATTATTATATTTAATAAAATCATTTTAAAATTGGAAAATCTAATTTGCATACAGAAATAAAAACAAAGACCTGCCAACCTCAGAAATTAAAAGTCTGAGCCATTTTGCAACCACAGGATAGCATAATTAGCTATTAAGATAAAAGCAAATAAATTCATGCATCAAATTAAATTTATTTAGGTAACTTTATCAACCCTACTTATAAACCACAAAATATTAATTCTATTGTTTTAATATACTGACAATTTTACCTACATACCTATCCTCTTCCTCTATCTATTTAGTCTTGCTTTGCATAAATCTTGGTGAAAGTATGTTTGTCAAATAAGCCTTGGTCTTCTTCTTTTATGTTTTCCATCGTGTGATGTTAGCAGGGCTATTCTGTTTTAAACGAAGAGTATGCTTAGCCAATCTTCCTTATGAATGGGTGATAATTTTTCCTTTTTTAATAGATCTTTATTTGGAATTATGCCAGGCCAAAAGATTTTTAAATAATAAAATGTAATCCTTTAAAATATATGTATGAAGATTCTTCTACAGATTAACATATAAAAAAAAATTTATCTTTTTCAAACTTGCCAAATTTTAAAACAGATTTAGGAGATTTGTCAGCAAATCTCCTAAATCTGTTTTCAAGAGAAAGCTGTAGTTGGCGACTACAAGTTTATCAAACTTAATTTTTTTACTACAGACTTTTTTTACAGTTAGTAAGAATTCTATAGAGAAAAAAAAATTCTTAAATGTCTTTAGACTGTAAAACACAAAATTAAGGTTTTAGAATACCAAGATAGGAGTTTTTGTCATTCTTTCCTTAAATTTTTACAAACATGGAAAAACTACCAGCAAAAAATTTAGTGCTTAGAAATCAAATTAGCTACCTCAGCAAGAATTTAGATACTACCTTTTACATTTTTCAAACATTTCATCCATACATGCTTTGTTAAACTTAGTCTCACTTATCTTTCTTTTTTATCAGAGATTTTTAGCAACAAAAAATAAATAATAAAACCAGAAAGAAACTAATAATAAAATAATACATTGAAACTAGGTACAACATCCCTGTTCTGGTGGAATAGTATAGGGGTTGCAGGCATAGTATGCACTGGTCTAGTGACTCTTATACTTAGTTGGGAGAAAACCTGTAAAAGCAAGACTCTGACCAAAGGTCTGAGAGTTGGCAGGTCTAAAAACATATTAAAACTACACAAACAAAAATAGCTATTGAAATAACTAGTAATTAATTGAAAAAAGAAAAAAGGCACAGATTTTTCAAGGCTTATTCCTCTTCTCCCTATTCTAAAAATGATTAATTTAGAATACAGTTTCAAAATTTTCATTGTAGAAAAAAACAAACAAAAAAAAAAAACCAAATTCTTTATGGATATTTTTGGAAAATAATTTTTTTCTAAAGTTTAACTGATACGAATGAATAGATTTTATAAAAATAATTTTAAGAATTATATCATGTTAAGACTAACTCCTAAATTGTCAACTTGAAACTCTGCAAAGTAAGTGCTTCTTTATGTTATGAAAAAGAGAAACTGTATAGCAGGAAATATTTAAGCAAATTTGCTCAAATAGCACGAAAGTGAAAGGACTAAGCCTTGGGCACTTTATAAGAATATTTCAATACAAAATACAGTCAGCTTAAATGAGCAATTTATTACTTGCCATACTTGTAACTGATACAGAGTGAGATTTTGTCAAGAGTTTCTGATAAAAAATATTCAAAGAATAACTTACAAATCAAGGATTTTTGCTGTAGGCAGTCTATTTTTATTTAAATGACTGTATAATTTTTATCTCAGAAATTTATCCTGAACTACAAATATATTATTCATAAATAAAAAAGGCCTCCCTTCAAATAAAAAAAGAGCAACTTTAGCTTTATGGTGCACAGATTTAGCTATATAGATATTAATCTTAAAAATTATTTGATCAAGAATTACTCAAATAAATATTTGAACAAATAACAATGTTGAACATCAATTCAGCATCAAATTACTTTCAGTACTTATGGCATTCTGAAGTTCTGGGTTTCTGCTACTCAAAACGATGCAATCTGTTTTCTTTAAACAAAAAAAAGGAACATCATTTTCTCTAAATTGAAATGGAAAACATTCCTATGAGGTGATAAAAGAGACTAGACGGTGTCTTTATTTCTAAAAACACTTAGAGAGAAAACTGATTAGTAGTTTCACTTCAGTTTTTTTCAGCTTCTTTTAATATTATTGTAAATTAATTGAAATTGCAATAGCTAAAACAAATTGAAAACTATGCAATAAAAGAAATAGTGCAACAACAGGAAAATTTAGCATTTTTCTGCTGCAGTTAGGAATTACAAACTTAAAAAACTAATAACTTAAATTTTTTTTTAAATAATCTATTTACTTTATTATTTAAATTATTCAATTTAAAATCAACTAAACGAAACAAAATTAGCAATACAATCATTTCAAGACATAAAAAATTGTGATAATATTTGATAACATGACATCTTTACATTTTAATGATCAAAATCTCACTCTGTACAAAAAAAAAAAAAANGAAAAAAAAAAAAAAAAAATGTACATTACCACTATGCTATTAAAAAAAAAAAAATAAGACTAGCAAATCCATTTCCTTAAATTCATATTCTATTGATATTACAAATTAAATAATAAATTAACAAAATATTTAAAGGGGTAAACTTACATACTTAAAGCTTTGAAAACAAACAAATAAGGAAAAAGCTATATTTTGTAACAATATACAAACAAGTGATATAAAAATATTGAGCAAGCTTAATAATAAACAGCATGCTTACTTGTCACATAACAACTAAACAAAAAAAAATCAAATCCTGTACATAATAGCATGAAAAATACAAATTAACGCTGGAATTTTAACAACTGTTCATTATAATACATTGTCTCTTGCATAGTATTTCAACGATTCACACAATGGAGTTACATAATCCACAATGAAGTGGGAATTTAGACTTGTCAGGCGCTTATTCGGTTGAGAATTTTAGTTTATGTGCTCATATGAAAAGAGTATAAAAAGTTATTCATAATAGCGTGTACGTTTATGGGTTGGCGAGTCCATTATGACGTCTACCGAAGGAGAACGTTTTCTTGAATGTCTAGAGAACTCTTCTGCAATAAATGCACTCAGTTCATTATGGGAAGTAGAGGTTGAGTTACAATGTCTGGATCTATTTACTCGAGACAATCCCGTAGGAGATCCTGGATTATGCTGTCTTAAATTAGCTAAAAGTAGAATGATTAACAATAAACATAGTTTAGTAACAAATAACCAAAAGAATAACAAAATGAAGACGGTATGAAACTTTTAAAGAAAAAGTTTGACATTACATTATTGATTGATTAAAAAATTTCCAAAAAATTTGAAAGGGAAATCCTAGCCTAAAAAAAATTCTATCATCTTCCAACTTTTTTTTATTCATCGCAAAACACAATAAAAATCAACATTTTTAGATTTCTTACAATATTTTTATTAACTAATTTATAATAAATGGGAAGGGAAAAAACACAGGTGGACGAGAGCTTGAAATTCAAGATAGTCTGTTGATTCATGACCACTACAATTTAGCTCAGACAACTGCGAAATAATAATCAGCGGTGCCCTGGACCAGCAATGGACATAAATTAATATGTTTGTTTTTTTATATTTATATATATATTTTGGTCTGAACTTTTATTGCAAAGTAACAAATTTTAATACAATTGCGACATCACATATTCCGGTTGTCATTATTGGTTTAAATTCAATTTATTTACATTTTAAAAAAATAAAAAATCAAATAGAGACACGTAATTGATGAAAATGTGTACTGACTAGTAATAGCTTTTAGTTACAGGTCCTTTGAGCCAATGACTAAATTTTCTTAATTTCTACCCCTTATGGCTATTTGCTGCATGAAAAAGAAGTCGTGTATAAAGCACACAAAGCTAATTTAAAATTTTTACCATCATCAAATTTTAGGTTATTGTAGTAGTCAGAGCATACTCAAATCTACCAAATACTTTCTACCAATACTCATAGTTATATCAATTCTCTCCTCCTACTATTTGCCACTTCCTCTCCTCTCCCCACTTTGAACAAAGTGAAAGTACAATTAATTTTTAAATTCATTCAACAAAACAGTAGGTACTATGTTATCACATAAACAGTACAATTTTGGCAGCAAAATAAAAATTTATTGCAAGGTTAACTTTATTAGAGTAATACAATGAGCAACTATGTTCTGCATTATAATTCAATGCAGTAAAATTTAATTTTTCTCACATCGACATGAATCAAAAACATTTAGATAAAGCTGAAGTATTTTATGTATTATTTTATTCTACAAAGAATACCTGTTTTGTGAACTAAAAAATACTATCATGTTATTGTTTCTATTCAATGATATAGCAAAGCTTTAGATTAAATCATGAAATATTAGATAATCATGAAATATTAGATCATGAGCTTTTTGATAGCAGGATTGGGTTCAGATTTCTTACTCTTAGCTTAAAATACTTTCCTGAAATCATGCCATGAAATTCTTGAGATTCTCCTAATGCAGGGCTAATTGTGAGTCCAACTCAAAAATCCGGAAAATTTCTTGAGTAAAATCATTAAAGACACATAATGTCTTTATAAATTTAAATCATTGATATTTTCAAACCATTGAATTCTAAATAAATTATATACAGCATAACTTAAATGAATAATTATGTAAAAGTTTATTTTTATCTCTAATCACATTTATTATTCTACCAGAATAAATATTTACAAATGAAAGATACCAAGTATAAATTCTAGTTCTTCTTCTTGGGTACTACAGCCTATAACAGGCCAAGGCCATCCCAAAAAGTTTTTGCCATCTTGATCTATTCTGTGCCATGGCCTAGTTCTAATATTTTTAAATAAAATATACAAGAATTTTTATACATAAATGTGATCAATGATTTTTTGAAACTTCTGGACCTAGGATTTCTGGAAACTTCCGGAGTGCAATTTGGGAAAAATCCAGAAATCCGGATTTTTTCCGGAGCACAATCACCACTGCTAATGTGTATAAATGTTTGCGGGCTATAGTAACTACAAAATGTAATACGTTAATGGGCTACAGTAACTACAAAAGATAGAATAAATAAGGTGCTTAGTAAAAATAAAAATGAATAAATAATATGTTTAGATGAATTTTTCCTCCGCACTGTATTGCTCACTAGCCCCAATGATTGCTTTGCAAATCTGTTAGCTTAAACTTGCGCCCCTAATTTTCAGATCTAAACATTTCCTTATGATTCTATCAAGATCTATAAGTGAATATATAATTTTGTTTCGTAATCAATTTTTAATTTTAAAATAACATTTAAAATTAAAGACATATTGTTATAACAAATTAGGTGAGCTCACAAAAATAAATTAAAATTTTTGTTTACCTAACAGACCGATATATTAATAAATATAATTTGTGCATGCATCACATTATACACAAAGTTGATCGTTAAGTTCTTAATCATTAAATGAATCTCTTTATATGTAATTAATAACAGTATATTAATATAATTGGTATAAAAAATAATAATTATAAAACATTTAATAAGTTGATAAGTAACAGTTAATAAGTTGATTTAAACAAGTTTATTTAAAAAAAAAAAAAAAAAACAAGGTAAAATCCTAAAATCACCTTAAAATTACAGCAACCTAACTTCTCCTTTAATTTTAAACCCTTAATTTGGAAAACATTTTAAATTAAAAACATGATAGCATAGTAGAATAAAAATAAAATAACAATTATAGGTAATATTTATGAAAGGAACCCTTTAAAAACAATATGACTTTGTTAATTTTATATTGATGACAACCAAAAAAAAATATAGAAATTAATTTGAGAAAACTGGATCCTACTATGTGATGTGAAAATGTATCTACAACAACATTATATAGGATCAAAGGTCCTACACACATGGAAAACTCCGATTCGATTACATATAGTTAAGATACAAAAAACATCAGATTAAAGGTCTGAACTAACAAATATCCTCATAATCAAAGCTTTGCTGGATATACACAAGAGATCAAAAATTAATACTGCTATAAAGGATATTTTCAACTATGAACATTATGAATTTCATATAGAAAAATAATTTTAACATACTTTTTGAATAGAAGAAAAATGTGTATTAACAGTATTGAATTAGTGCTTTTACTCTTTTACCAAAATATTTTTGCTTCCTAAAAAAATTAACCATTTTAAGGTTGTATGCCGACCTATGTCACACGAAATATATCAACAAAAAACAAGGTTGGTGCAATTTAAAACACATGATTTTAAGAAAAAGAACATATTGACTTAAGTTGAAAATATGTTTATAAAATACTTTTAATTATGAATTTTGAATAATTTTGAGAAAAAAAATTTGCCGTTTTACTATCCATAAATCGAAATTTTAATTGTATCCATTTTGTTTTATACAATATTACAAATGCTTTAAAAACTTATATTAAATAAGTAGCTAACCTATCAGAATTAATGTATTTAAATAATAAAGAATAACCTATTGCACCAAGATAACTAAAAGTTTTCTGATAAAATTAATTTTCTTTCAGTACTTACAACATGGGCTCCTTTGTTTTATTATTCAAGAGAATATTAAACTGTTAGAAAAATAACCTATTTTATTTATTCAGAGATTAGTCAATATTAATTTGAAAGTACTAACAGTTTCAGTTAAAAGTAATAAATATTTTAGTTTTAGTATTGTTTTTAAATAATAATAAAAATATTAATATATTTAGTTAGGTTAGACCTTTGATAGGCAAATGCAAAAATGAAACAAGGAAAAGGGGGGAAAAATTACATATTTCATTTTTTTTTTTAAATATGAGGCTTTGCCTCTCGCATACTATGTTCACCAACTCTTATTATTGTTTCAAATTCAACATTGTTTCTCTCTAAAATGACCATATTTTCATGAAAAACAAACAGATTTTTGTTAATTAAGTTTAATTTCTAAGTAAAGAAAATTTTGTAAACAAAACATGTTTATCAAGAAAAGAGCTTTTTTGTCAATGAAAATTTTAATATATGGAGAGACGGTGTAGAAGGAACCTGGGGGCATGTTAGACCAGGTTCAATTATTTGAATGGTATTAAATATTTTTGGTTTATTTTTTCATTAACATGTTACACCACTAGTACTACAAATCCTATGATTGAAATACAAGGCACAGTTAAAGTGTCCTTTTTTTTCCCAACAAGCTATATTTTAGCATTGGAAAGAAATTTTTAAAATTACAATCAAAAATTTCTTTCTATCGGAATAGATTAATAAATTGCAATAATTTTACAAGATTAGATCTTAATTTACTAAATAGTAGCAGTTATTAAAATTTATATGATAAGAGGATAAATTATTGTGAAACTCAGAATATGGGGTACTTTGGTTCAATTAAAACTGAAGTAGATTGGACCATTAAAATAATTTACAGAAACTTTATTATAAGCCTTATTTTAGTTATTTTATAGAATAACACAGTTAATACTCTCCAATAATAATTATTTAAATTATTTATACTTAAATTCAACTTACAAATGTGCTTGGGCAAATTTAAAACATGAATTAGTGCTAAAAATTAATTTTAAAAACTAGGTGGATATGGTAGATGGCACGATAAATAACTTCTGAAAAACAATAGATAATTGCCGAAAAAATGCACAAAAATGATCAGAAAATAAGGCTTTACAATAGAAGAGAGAGATTACTCAAGTAAAAAATGTGCGGATGAAATAACACTGTAAAGAAATATTGAATCGAAAGACAATGTGGAAATGGCAAAAAGTGATGGAAACCTACTGAAAAAAGATTGGGATTTCCGATGTAATCATTTTGCATCAAGTACGTTTAAAGTTATTACCTAAATTTACGTGCAGAAATATTAATATTTGAAATTTAAAAAACCACATGGAAATGGCTGAAAAAACTACTGGAAAACAGTGTATATTTACAATCGGGTTGTCACATCAAAAAGTGAATACTTATATGCTTAAATTGTGTGTCATATAAAGTAAATTGGAATTTGATAGACCTAGGGGAAAGCTGCTGATAGAAGATATTAAAATTAAGTAGATTTACAATGAAATCATCCTCACTCGGGTGGTGAAAAAAGCAATAACTTATAATCGAAAATTATGTTTCGTAATATCATATTAAATATCTTATAATTTGAAAAAAAAAAAGGGTTAAATCACCTAAAATACGATTAACTACCGAAAAAATAAACAAATAAATAAATAAAATATCAAAATTGGACTTTTCTGTAAAATGGCATATAATTCCAATGCTAACAAGTGAAATTGTGTTGAAACAATGGAAATCTGTAATAGTTGGAATCTCTATATTTGGAATTTTACCACAAAGTAATGCTTCATTTTGCAAAAATCAATTAGCATAGATACCAAGTATTAGCTTTTTATACAATTCAATAAATAATTGTTCAGTAATAATGATTACATTTTATTTTTTCTCACAATTGAAGAATATTTTGATTAATCTTTAGAACTGAATTGAAAAATGCATTTTTAAAGAAAATAGGTAATGCAATTACTGAATTGGATAACATTTATCCTTTAATATTATTTTCGATTATATTTTTTGTAACTTGATCAAACATGCCAATGAGCAGGATCAAGGTATCTTTACCTCGGAGTACGTTGGCTCATTGTTCAAGATTTTTTTTATTAATTATAAATAAATAAAAAATTTCCAACAGAACGTTTGAAAATTTTTTTAAAAATAAATAGTGTGAAGTATGCAATCTTTCTTGTAGAGAAAAATGAAATCATAAGGATAGTTTTTAACAAAATAAAATATAAAAACTGAAAAGTAGACCAACTAAACCTAGTTTCCTCTACTTTCAATTCTATATTGTATTCAATGTAGTTCATTTTCATATGTCTCAGGTTTTATATAATTCTGAATCTAATTAAAGAAACAAGTAGTTCTAGATTATACATAATAAAAACTGTCTCTGTTATGTGGTAGAAATTTAATGAGTTTTTAACACATTTGAGTTTAAAGATATCAAACACTGCTACTGATTTTATATATGGACGGACAATTAATCAAAAGAATAATGTAATTAAAATAATGGGGCATAGAAAAATAATGATTGAATTTGCATAGCACATTTAATCAAAAAATTTCAAAAGTAATTTGTACGATGGAGAAAGAAATTAAGTTTGCTTATTTTAAAAAATATACGAAAAGAATGCTGTTCTCATCATCAAAAAATTAATTAGCTGCGTTTATTAAAAATCCTATTGACTTAATCCTATAACTTTGTCTTGCAACAAAGGATATATATATGGTCATTGTTTAAAGCAGATAGTGAGGAAAAATTTCACAAAGAAAAGATGATTTCATGAATGAAGAACGTTAAATTTTAGTTCAGTAGACATTGATCATTTTGTAACCCTCACAAGTTTGTGGGTTACAAAATGACACACATGATGAATTCTTACTCTAAGTTTATTGGTTAATAATTTTCGAACTTATTCTCAAATGTAAATTTTTTTTATTACATAGTAATTTCGTAATAATTTTCTATACACCTTTACATTTTTTAAGTTTCTAAGTCTAATAAATTTTGTATAGCAATGTAAATTTAAAGTTGAATACCTGAAACAGCAGCAACTCTTACAATTTTTTAATATTGAGAGAAAATCATGATTTTTAACAAGCCTAATTAGTACGTCAAAATATTAATTACCTGAAAACGCTAAAGCTTCACGAAACATATCAAGGTTTTCTGATCTGGGAGTAAGAAGTCCAGAAGCTTCAGATTGAGAAAAACGATGGGCATGTCCTAGATGAGGAGAACTATGCATTCCATCTAAAACAAGACGAGGTTTTGGACAAGCAAATCTAGAGGCAGGTGGAGTTCGACCAGTAATATAAGCTATAAGTTCCTCTCTTCGAATATTTCTCTTTTTCTTTTTAACCCAAGACAATAATTCTTTATTTCGTTTCTGATTACCAGATTGAAATCCCAAATCATACAATGGTTTGTGAGATTCTATACATTCTGAAATTGGAAGATATGTCAGTTAAAGAGAAAGTGAAACAGTCATAAAATTAAAAAATAAGAAAGAAATAGAGATAATATATTAATAAGGTGATGATTATAATTGATAGAAGTGAATATCAGATTATCTGGCACATCAAATATTTCGTACAGCTGAAAATTAAGGTTACACAACGAAAGTGCTTCAACTTTTTTAAGAATTAAATAGCAAAAATAATGGATTGATGGAAAAAAGAAAATGTGTAAATTTGATGTTAGATTTAACTGTAAATATCTAAAAACTTTCAAAACATAAACTTTATAATTCTTTTATTTCTCTCATACATTTTTCAAATTTTCTTCATTTTTCGTAAAAAGAGCAGGTTAAATTATATATATATTTTTTTTAAATTAGACAGTATTATAAAATAGAAATATTAATTTGATCATTTATTTTCGTTTCATATAGTGAACAAGAAAAAGAAATCATTTCTAATTTCTGATCCACACTAAATAACTGTTAGTGCACTGTTGGATATAAACTAACTTTATCCATATATAGTCAATAATAAATTTGATGAGAAAGATTTAGTACCTAAAATATATATAACCATTTATATAAAATTGAGCCTGAGATTATACCTGAGATTTTACATCAATCAAAAAACAAAAGTTCTTGGCACTCTCCCCCTTGACCACACCTTTCATTTAAATTTTTTTTTTCCCTTTTCGTCTTCCTTGTAGCACAAATTTTTTTTTTACATAATTAATACCTATTAAAAATGCATACAAGAACTACCATTTATACTTTAATAATGCAAAAAGAAAAAATAAATATACAAAGGAAACTTATAAGAAACAAAATAATTTTCTAAAATAAAAATATAATAACCATGTTTGATAAGTACAAAAAATTTTGAAGTAAAAAATTGTATTAGCGTGATTATTAAAATGTCATAGCTCACAACTTGAGATCATAATAATTTTATGAAATTTTCGACAGATTCCATCAAAATAGTGCAAAGTAATTCTTATGCATTAAAAATACTTTTTTAAAACATTAGCTTGTATCCATCTTTAATACTGTTAAATTTATCCAACCAGTTTTCTGTGGTTAATATTATATGTAATCAAACTCTTACAAATATATATTGTAAAAAAGTGAAATTAATACTAAATTAATTAAATTATTACCTTTATATAAGCTTGTAACACTGCTGGCAGCTGTTTGAAAAGGCACCCATAAAGAAACCCCATTTTGTCGATCTGGAATAGTAAAAAAAGCAATTAACTTCAGAAGGAGAGCTTAAAAGTAATTTAGATAATCAAATATATAATGAAAAAAGTTTCAAATTTAATTAAAAAAAACTACAATATTTAGTCTAGTAGAATCAAAACGAAATGGTATTATTTTTTTTTTTTAAATCCTAATTTTTATAAGAATGTAAAATATAAATTTAAACTACAGCATATTAGATTATCAAAATTTAAAATAATAACAATAACAACTCATTACCTGTAATATGAACTGAATGTTTGTAATAAAACAAATAATAATGATCTTACAGTATTAATACCAAGATTTTAGAAAAATCAGCAAACAGTTTCACTAATTTTCACAACATTTTTATAGATGTTGCATAATATAAATCGTAATTTTAGTACTAAATTGTAATGCAAGTATTGTGCATGATTTAACTTTGACTAAAATGTCCCCAATGGCAAAAGAGAAAAACTTGCTCCAGGTTTTTGACAGTTTCAATCCGATTTCGACAGCTTACAACTGTTTCTGACACTTTTCAACTGGTTTCTGGCATATTACACAAAAAACAAGTTTTTGACATCAAAAACCCAACTCCGGAAAATACTAACCCAAATCATTAGATGATCGATGTTTATATTGCAAAATATATACAAATACTAAATTCTAAGGACAGTGAGTTAAAAGTAAGATTTTTGTAACTTTAAAAGAAAAGGTCTAGTTCACAGCTACACAGAACTAGCTTTGTATTACATAATACAATATTTGATTATCATTGCTAGAGGTCTATTCTGAAATGCATTTTGAATCAATGCTAATTGTATTTCTACAAAATCAGGACTCTAGGGTACATATCCTTCACTAACAACACTTTTCCAAATTCTTTAACGGAAGAGGCTAAACTATATATGGTGCTTTTAACATAAATGTAAACAGCAATCTCAAGCTCTTAACTGGCTCTACTTCTGGTTAGAAAGTATACTGCTTACTACAGCTTATACTATAAGGCGATATTTTCATACATATAATTCTGATTTTAATAAAAGAAATAAATTATATAATTTCTGAACTCAAATCTGCCGTATTTCATAAGATATTAAGTAATTCCGGTAAATTTGAAATGAAATTTGTTTTAGTTATTTATAGATGTACTGTTAAAAAAAGGTGGCATGGTTGCTAGATTTGGAAAGAGCTCATTCTTTTAGCAGTCCCGATTAGGCCTTTTTTAATATTACTGCTAATTCCTGTTGCAAGCCATGCACCAGCATACGTTATAGTTAGCATATTATTCGACCAGCAAGATAAGGTTCATTCTACAAATTATCATTTAGGTTTAAATTTCCAAGTAGGCACATTGTTGATAAAATAAGAAGTGTTTTATAAAGATTCTTTTTTTCAAATGCCGATTCTTACGTCTTAAAATGACAGGTATTCAAATGATGATTCTTATAACGTTTCCTTTTTAAACACAAATAATAAATCAAGTAAAAATAAACGTATACAAGAAATACTACTTAAGAGAGTCTCATGATGCAATGATCAATTGTGTTTCCAGGCAAGGGCACTTCCAGTTTTGAAAAGGCACTCATTTACCACTGTTAAAATTTATCAAAATATGTAAGATTATATAATAACTAAATTTTATCTCCAATTTTTAAATTACTATACTATTTTATGTGTTTATTTCACAAAATAATTCTCACTCATTATCAAAATAACAGACAATTATGAAGTTTTTGAAAAATATAGGTCAATTAAAAACAATCTCTGTGTGTAAATTTGTTTCAAAAAAGTATTAAACATAAAAAAAAAAAAAGTTTAATTAATGAACTTTAAACTGAAAATTATGAGTAAAAAAATTTTTAAAGGTGCATTTTTAAATAAAATATACTTTTTCGAAAAATAATGCTAAAATTTAATATCACTGAAAAATTCTTTAAATTAAAGATGTGAACATCTCTGGGGCCGAATATTATGGGAATTTTATTTATAAAACTAGACAACACAAGATAAATCTTACTAAAATGAAGGAATGTAAGGAAAAATAAAATAATTATCAATAACTAAATAAGTCAGAAGTGGACTTTTTATTAAAACAGGCAGTTAAGAAAACCTTTTCAAAAAAAAAGGCAGTGCTTTTAAGGGATGCAGAATATTTTTTATATCAAGGACAAATAGGGCGCATTTATAGGGATCAAAGGCAGGCGGGGTGGGCCCACCTTTTAAAAACACTTTGGGAGAACACTGCAATGAAATGTTATGAAATCCATGATAATCAGTCACAATGAAAAACAAAGTTACACATACTGAAAAACAAATGAAATTGATGTTAATGAAAAACAAAGTCACAATGAAAACAATAATTATAATTGCATATAATTAGATTAAGCATCATCTTAGAAAAACATTATATTGATATAATAATCGAATTTGAGACAGGGATTAAAGGTCTACAGTCACTAGTCCAAAACATATCATAAAAATAATTAATTAATAACATTGAATGGAATAAATATTTTGCTTACTGCAAATAAAAAATTTCTACTAATATAAAATTCATATAAATTGAAATCACACGATTTATCGTTATCGACTATTATATTAATAAAATGTAGAATTAATATTACAAAATGCTTAAATATTATAATGCTTTGTATTTAATGTTCATAATAGCTTTTAGAGATTAACACAAATCCAGCTATTCCCTTTCTTTTATAAATAAATGGGAATTTGAATTAAGAGATCCCCAGGGAGATTTCCGTATCAGGATCTGTGGCAGAATGATTGCCATGACTTGGCAAATTCCGGGCAACCGTCATCAAGAAACTAAAAAATAAATCACAGAAAGAGACCAACTCGAAAGGTATAGCTCATAGACAACTCGGGCAAATATCTACATGGTGGTTGTTTTTTTTAAACTTTGCAAATTTGATATCATTTAATGCCTTGGCGATTGAAGTTGGCGTGACAGATCGTGACACAGAAATATACCCCTGTTTATATTTTAAAGACATAAACCCACTCTTAAATATTAGTTCAATTTACACATCGTAAAATAGTTAATTGCTACTATCATTAAGCATTACTTTAATGAAACTCTACTTTCACATAATCTAGTTATGGGCAGATTTCTCACAAATAATAAAAGGTTTCTGGGCAGTTTAAGGCAGCATGATGTTTACTGTGAATATGATCTTGTATCCAAAATCTTGTCATTCTTGACTTGCACAATAACTGGATCTATCAATTCAATTACCAGATAAAACTTATCATAAAAATAAAGAAGTCCTTCTAAAACTCAAATCCAATCATTAGGATTTAGGGCTATACTAGATATCGCTAAAGTTTTTTTTTTCTTTTCACCTTAAAAAACGTTTATGAAGTTAAACTTCAAAGTTTTCAACGATCGTTAGGATAGGGGTGGGGGGACATTTGTTGTCTAATAATTATTTTTCTCATCTTACCTTTATATAATTGAGTAATACTAGTTGCGGCATTTTGAAATAGAAACCACAGTTTTTGAACGGCTACATCTTTAGCATTTTGCAATTCAATATCTATATCTGATGTTTTTTCATGCTCGTCAACACATTGTTGTTCCCATGAAGACAAGCCCAAAAAAGATTCTAAAGTCTCTTGATCATTATTCATTTTAGTATACTAAATAGCTAAAGAAGAGTAAAAATAAATATTCAATCTAAACGATACATAATTATGATGAAAATACAAGGGTATTATTTTTAGCATTTACGAGTTAACTTTCAACCAGCCCTTCCCTGTGGAAAACAGTCTTCAACTACTTCGTTTGCTTTCCTCTTCTCTGTTCTCATCACACTGATGATGATGATGATGATAAATAATTTTACATGGCGCATTCAGAAAATAAGCCAATCACGTAAAAGACAAAATTAAAACTATTTTTATAATTTTTCCTTTTCAAAAAACTTAAAATAAAAACTAATTTTTCCCGCAGTTGCTTTTATTTAATTTATTGAATGCGTACGTGTTCAGTTTGTTTACATGTTTTATTGCGTCCCGTCATACCCGGCGGAAGTAAACCGCCATCTTGTTTATTTTCTTGACAATGAGGTAGAATTTGCCGTGAAAAGAACACAAGATATTAATTGTGTGATCTTTTATCGGTGAGCATTAAAACAAATTTGCTGACTTCTTTTTGGTTTGTTAATCCGGTGTTCGGATGTTGATGCCTTCCCCTTGTAGGGGGGTTGACACCAGCAGACATTGGGCGAATAGCGAGCAAGTATTTTAAAGTGAGTGTGTCTGGAAAGAATTTGGCAACTGGTTCGGGAAAAGAGAGAACTGTAAACTTTAAAGAAAATTTTAAATCAAAGAAAGTAAAAGAAAACTTCTATAGTCCTGTATCTAATATGAACCATTTAAATCAAGTTTCTTATGATAAAAACTGTCACCTTTCAGAATCGGAAGAAATGGACACTCGTGAAGGTGATTATGATAATGATTTTCGATGACGCTCATTTAATGTTATTGAAAATTGTTAAATGTTTTCAATTCTATTTACAGTAACCGATATATGTTGCTTGTCCCCACTTATTAATAGCTTAAAACTCATTGATAAACGCTTTTAGATTAATTTTCTGACACTATTGATACATATACCAAGACGTCATTCTTTCTCAAGTTTCACTATAAACTTTTTAAATTTATTCAATTAAGTAATATATTTAAGATCACTTTTGAGCTAATGAAATTCAATATTTAAGATGAAATTTACTAATCAGATTATTAGTTGTTTCATTAACAAAAATGTCAGCATTCCAAATTTAATCTTAAAACCTTTCTACATTCTTTAAATAATATCAATCTGCTCTTTAAAAACCTTAATATCTTTAAAATGAATGATGCACAGTTATTGCAGTTATATTAGCATTGAAATTTTTTTTCAAATTAAGTATCTTAAATTTTAAAATTAAAAGTGAACCTATTATTTGCAAATCATTTTTTAAAAATAACATACCTATGTATTTTATTTTATAACCATCGTTGAAAAGCGAACCTAATCTTGGGATTACGACTTCTAATTAGATTAAGTATTAGGATAAATTTGTCTCTGTGGAGGGCTTTTTGATGGGACTAACCCACATTTGTGTTACATGGAGAGGAAAACCTCCCATGGTTAGCCTGACTGCAAGAGGACTCTAAAGCATGTTCCATCTACCACTAAGGATATTTTAAGCCAGCACTGTTGTTGGTGCCAACCATGTGCGGAGTTCGTAGCAACCAGCTATCACTGGGATTCGAATTCGGTTCACCTAATTGGAAGGAGAGCACTCACTATATTTTAACATATTCGTGAAGTTTCCTTTATACAGAAGTGTTTTCTTTTTCTTTCTAATTGATTAATCTTTACTTCAGAGGAATAGCTCTGGGATATTTTGTGAGCTTTTAATGTATATATTGCTATTTGAATATATCTCGTTTTTTCCCCTCATGAATAATTTAAAGTGTCCAATTTGGTTTATATAAGTCTTTGTATAGGATAGCTTTAATAGATCAAACTAAAAAAGAATTATTTAATGTTTTTTGTTTTCGCAATGGGATACCCTCAGGTGAGGTAAAATGGTAATCTCGTTTCTGATTAGTTGTTGAAGCATGGCATTTGTTTATGTTAACAACTGTTTTTTCCATTCTATTTCTAGTAAGCCAAGCCTGTCAAGTCTCAATTCTCTTAAGTGACATATTTTATATTTTTTCACAGAAATTCTTTCTCAAAGATTTCAACTCTTTTACTGTAAACTTCTTACTTAACACAGAAAGAGACATGAAGCCATGTGGAACATAAACTAATTATGCATCAAAGTTCGTACACAAAGCAAAAATATATTACGGTTAATATAAAATACATTAATAAATCTAAGTTAAGTGAAAGACGTGGACAAGAAAGAATTATATTCGCTTTTGAAAAAGAAACAACTATATGACCTTGCAAGGCCATTGGGTTTGATTAGACCACAAAAAATAGCTCATTATATGCTGACATACCCTTGTCAAATCAAGTGCAAAATAAAATTTTTTTTGCTTTTATAGAAAAAAGTTTGCAAAATTTCTTTATTTCATCAGTTTCTTTATATGCAAACAGAAAGACTTCTATTTGTTATGATTTTTTGGTATCATTTTTATTAATTTTATTATTAAAACAATAGCTTTTATTCAGTAAGTTTTATTTTCCTCATTTCAAACAATTTAAGAAAGCTAGCAAAAACAAAAAAGGTGTGCAATGCCGTTTCAAGAGTTGGCCATGTTGATATACGTTTGCACTGGGAGCTTATCATTAATTTGGTGTGAATTTTGTTGCAAATAGGCTCTCTTCATAAGGATAATGAGTTTTTTTCTTTACTTAAACATTTTTGGATGTGGTTAGTTAAGCTACCTCTAATGATACATAATTTACGTCAGAAGTCTTTTCCCATCAATTAGTGCATTTTTTTTTAATAATCATGTATTAGTATTTCAAGGGAAAAAAATAAAAATCATTGTTCATAGAATTTTGTTTATTAAATCTAACTGTATATACAATTAAAAGTTTTTGTTTGTGAGAAATCTAATGCTAATTATTTTTTGTATCTAAAATTTTCAGTAAACTAAACATTTCGATCCCTTTTTAAAATTTCTTATTCTCTCTGACCTTTGCTATTTTTATTGTTTCTGTTTTATTGTTAAAATCTTCAATTTTAATTAAGTCAATATATAATTCATTCTATCTGTTTAACAATTTTTTTAAAAAAACTATGTTGCTCATATACTACCACTTTAAATACCACTGCTCTATTTGGCTGAGAATGTCATTCTAAAGATTAGATTGATCAATTATTGGTCATTGTTATAGTGTGACAGATTTTTAGCATCTAAACTTTTTAAATAAATTATGACCTTAAGATTGACAATTTTTTTATCGATGAAAGAAATTATTTTTTGCTGTAGATATCTGAAATATTAAATAGAAATAAATATTGATTATTTATAAGTATAATTTTTATTAAAATTGTTGGTAATTTTTAAAATTTTACAAACCACTCTTAAGAAATTTTTAAAATTCACTCTAAGCATCTGGTTTGTCTTTAAGTAATAAAAAATGAAGCTCTTATTAATTTTTCTTCTGGAGACATTGTAAGTAAACAAAATTATTTACTATATGATTAATTTATTCTCTACTATAAGTCTCATTACATGCAAGTTTAGAAATTTTATAAGAACTAGTACTAAGTTTTGTTATTTTTTCTTATTTAGACCCAATTCCAGTTGGTTATGCAGTGAATCTACTGAAAATTACTGCAATCTTAGCTGTTTAATCTCTAGCTAATACTGTTTTGTTTAGAAAAATTCCTTTTGAAGTAATTTTGAGGTTTGAGTTAAATATATTTTTTTCTTTCCATCGGACAAAAAAAAATCGTTCGCCAAAACTTAATTTTATTCACCAAATTTACGATTTTATCGCATTTGGCAAGGTGACCTTTGCTTAGCGTTGACCCTGCTATTTTAAAAACCCTTACATTAGAGCTTCATATTTCTGAGCTATTTATTTGCAATTATTTTACTTATTGTTAAATTAAATAGCCAATAATATAATTTGAACAATTCTTATAATCAGGATTTAATATTTCTATATTAATATTTTTAACTATTTATTACATTATAATTATAAACGAATGTTGTTAAAAAATATAAACTTAAAAAGAAGCATTATTTCACTTATTCTGATCTTAGAATAGAAAAGTTTCATTAATGTTCCAATTAATTTAGTAGATAGATGTTTGTCTCTTAAATTTGATTGGAATACACCAATTTTTAGAAAAGCCTTTTTAGCTTTTGTAGATTAAAAGTATTAATTTGTCGTTTATTAAATATGTTTGCTTTTCTCCACCGAGAAAAGTAATTATTCTCGCATATGATAGGCATGAGCTTGGTCTTTTTTTAAACTTATCTAGATTTTAATTCAAAGTTGTCAGTCTAATGGTTTTATAAATTTTTTAATAAATTGTGTAATTTAGTACAATGTAGTAAGTTTGACTGTACTTAAATGAGTTAATTTTAAAGTGAAGGTTATATTGTATTTTTATTATGCTTTTTATTAAAGAAAATCGATTTTTATATTAGTTGAAATTTAATATATATTTTAATTAAAAATAATAATTCCACCTACTAGGAGATCTGCAATTCAAATTAGTATACTGTTAATTTATAGACATTTATTATTACTTCTTAGATGAGACTGGCACTGTTCAAGTTGATGGAAGTGGTGAAGAAAGATATATAAATGGTGATATTACTGAGAACAGTGTAGGAAATCAAGAAGAAGCAATGGAAGAAGAAGGTATTATTTATGAAAATAAGTTACAACATTTGTAGTTTGAGCATTTCATTTTATAGTTTTATCTAAAGCTAAATGAATTTAAAGAATTTATATTTTTAGAAGTTACAATGTATACTATTTGAATGAAAAAGAAAAAGCTTAAATCAAATGAAAAGAAGTATTATTATTTGTTTTTATATGAGGCGTTATTTTAATCTACGATTGTTAGCGATGCAATGGAGTCAGCGCAAGCTCGATTCGAGCTTGTTTACTGAGAAAAGGTTTCTTCTCAAGCGGGTTGGTACCCTTGATAAAATTTTCATTAAATTATTTATTACTTAAAAAAATATTTGGTTCAGTTATTAAACATAAAAATGCAAAGTTTATAAGGTTTAAGAAATTACAGCTAAAGATCTGTTTAGTCCTTTTGTTTGTATGGACATATGAGACTGACACTGAAAAACTTCAAAATTTGTTCTTTATCCAGTGTATATTTTGGACTCTTAAGTAAACCTATATATATCTTACGCTCAGAACCGCAAAAGCCAGTCCGAACTAATCTCTAGTGAGTGTAACTTAAAATCATTTCAATCAAAACCAGATTTNAGACAGTTTTGGACAAAGGGGTTTTTGGACAGGACGGTTTAAACCGTGGATTAATCCATTCTGTCCTAAACCTTGCCAACCCTGCTATATATATATCTTACGCTCAGAACCGCAAAAGCCAGTCCGAACTAATCTCTAGTGAGTGTAACTTAAAATCATTTCAATCAAAACCAGATTTTAAATTTAACATGAAAACAAAAAATGCCTCTTGAACTTTTATTGGGCCATTTTTTTCTTCCTGTAATGTTAGATTAATATCTTAATTTGATTTTTAAGACTTTTTTTTTTTTTTTTGTAAAAGTAGGTGGATTTCCAAAATTTTACCTATTATAAAGGATTGACTATAAACTTGAACTTCTGCTCTTAGAAGTAACTGAATTTATAAATTCTTTCTTTACAACTACAAATAAGCTGATGAGAAATTATCAAAGAAGAAAACAAAATAGAATTGAAGAAATATAAGGAAGAAAACCAAAGACCAATTTTAACCAATGTGTTTTATTTACATTTTGGGATTTGAAGCAATGAAATTCTTTTAAAGCAATGAAATGTTTCTGAATTTAACATTTATGAGCACTGTAGTTCTTCTTTAACCATGTTAAACTTCTTTTAAAATATTTAACTTTTGTTCTACTTATAAATATTTCTCAATTAACATTGAATATTAAGACAGTTAAGAGTTAATTTAGTTGTTATTTTTTCAGATGAAGCTCGCTCTGAAGCCACCTTAAGATTTGTTGTAAATAACTTCAGCAAATTAAGGGAGACTGCCTTGAGTCCTCCAACTTATGTCAGAAATTTACCATGGTAAGTAAATATGTTCAAAAATCAAAGATTATGTGCATATATATATATATATATATATTATGTAATGTTTAAAGAATTAAATTAATTCTAATCCATGAACAGAACTTATCTAATGCGCAATCAATTAAAACCTTTCCCATAATGAAAGTAATAATATTGATATAATTACCTCAGAAAATGTAATGTGTCTTTGGTAGCTTGGGAAATTGATCAGTCCCATGTTTCTAAGACATGTTAATATTTAAATATATTGTTTAGAAAGATTTAAAAACCCTTTTTCCAAGATCAAATTGGCTCTTTATCTATCCACCAGAATGAAATGTCTCAGCAATACTTTTGTTAAAGCACAATTTGTTTTGCCGAATTAACGATTTTATCACATTTGGCAGGATGGCAAATGATTAGATTAGTGTGTTTTAAGAAAAATTGTGTTTATATGAGAAAAATAATGAAGTAATCTCGAAACGCATGTTTACAAAGAATCGAATCTGCATATTTTGTATGCATGTATTGTTATATTTTTTATAAATTAGCAACACACCGGTAACAAAACTGTTGCCTGGGAGGGAGATAACAATGCTTTTTTTTTCATTTATAAAATACATGTTTTGTATCATTAAAAAAAATGACTATAATGTTAAAGAATTTAAAATTTAATAGGGTGCAGTATCTGATTTTGTTTTTAGCATGCGACAAAAGCAGCATCAATTAAAATGCACCACAAGCTGTTGGCGAGAAAAGAAATTGCCAAACATTAGGTGCAGGTGCATATTAAATCAATAACTGAAATTAATCATCAAATAATGGAAAAAATTTACCGTTTGGTGATAAGTAAGTTTTCTTATGTTCAACACTTTTTTTTTAATAACATCAAAAATGTCATGCTATTTTATGAATCTCTTTCTTTTTTGCTTTTATTTGCGCATAAACTTTCTGATGTGTATGAAAATAATCTTTCGAGTTCTAAGAATGTAAACAAAATGGAATATTAATCATGATTTAAAGAAATTAAATTCTACTACAGCGATCATTTTTTGAATCTAGAATTATGTGAAACATCCATATTTAAGTTTTTGTGAAGGGAACTTTAGAGTCTTTGATCTGTGGTGAATGGTTTTTAAACAGACCTAATCTCTTTTAACATTTATGCCTATATATGCCTATACATTTATGCCTATGATACTAAAAATATATTGGCATCGTTTATCATTGATTTTTTTTCTTCTAATTTTAACTTTTATACCTTTGTTATTGAAATAGGAAAATCATGGTTATGCCACGTACGACTCATCAGCAGGACAGATCTCCAACCAGAAGTTTAGGATTCTTTTTGCAGTGTAATGGGGAATCAGAATCCACGTAAGTGAATCTTCTTTTTAAATTTTTTTACGAGACATTTTTTCCTAGTTTTTTTTTTTTGAACAACGAGTAAGATTGGTCTGGTCCCATAAAATATGACTCATAAGTAAATAATGTCTGACATTGAAAGATATTATTATAAACGTATAGCATATGCGATTATAAGCATATAACAATTCAGTTGAGATCAAAAGTGGATTTGATATTCAGGAGGAGAGCAACATCTACATATTTAGCTTCTACTTAACATTCATTTTATCTCTACTTAAATGAATTATGGTGTTTTAGAGTTTACTGAGTACATATTTTCTGATTGTTTTGAAACTAAATTCTTTCTGAAACAGTTGATTTTTTTTTATTTTAAAGTCTTAACACATATTTGTACTTAGTAATTTAAAGTTCAATTCTTTTTGTATTCATTTAAATGTTGTCCTTTGTAAAATTTCTAATTTATTTTAAAATTATCATCACAATTCGCCTATATTTGATTAAACTGACTGTTTGCTTATTTGGAACTAGGTATTTCCCACCTATTGATAAAAGTGAGTGTACTGTATGGACAATGTAAACCTGCCACCATATAATTGTGAACATAAGTGTTTGATTGGTATATGTAACCAATAAAATGTGTTATTGCTAAGTTAATTAACATGAAAAAATTATAATTATCCATTACAAATAAAGTTTTATTCTTTACTTGTGTAATTCATGAACAATATTCATTCAAATATTAAAATAAATACTGAATAAATGAAATCATAGCTATACAAGATTTCAAAATTGAAAAAAAAAATTTACTTAGCTAATGCAAAACACATATTTTTTTCAGAACATCTTACAACCATCATGTCTTTAATTTTATGTTGTATTTTACTTTATTCTTTTATTAAAACTTTGTTCAAAATTTTTTTAATTTGTATAACAGAACATGGTCTTGTAATGCTGTTGCTGAGTTGAGACTCATTACACAGAAAGAAGGTGTTGAAAGTTTTTCAAGAAGTAAGTTCATGTGCATAAGCATTTTATTGGCTTTTTTTAACTTTTTTTTATCTGATTTGAATCAAAAAGTTAATTTAATGACATAATAACAAAAATTATGATTTCAAATATTTTTTATTTGCCAGTCGAAGCTGTGTTTAAATTTATAAATATTACTCTAACACAAATAACATTAATATAGTTCTAAACATTATTATTCCAATATTAAAATAATTAATGAATAAATAAAATCATAGTTGTTTTTATTCAAGCTCTATATTCCCTTTGAATAGAATGCCAAGGAATTGCTTTGTTAGATATCAGTTAAAGAGTAAATCAGTTAGATATCGAATGAAAAATTAGTTTATTTGGATCAGAACGTTATGAAACAATCAAATATACAAAATAACTGAATCATTTAAATATTATATATTAATTAGGTTTTAAACACACTTGATTGGGGAAACTGAGTTAATTTGAATTTCAGGTATCTGAAAGTTTGATACTATTTATTTTCTCCAAAAAAAAAATCAATTTTGTAAAAAAAAAAAAATTTCCAATTCTGTTAGCAAATATAAATGTTTTGTGTTATATTTTATTTATAAAAACACAATATTATTTAAAAATGAATAAAAATTATGTCATCTGGTTACTAAAATCGGGGAGATTTTATAAAATTGGCTTATAAAATTGGCCACCCTTCCAATATTATATCTAAATTTTTGAATTAGTGGTGTCTTATAAAAAATCAAGTGATTTAAATCCTGTCAGTCCTACTGCTTTTATTATCTTCTAATCATGTTAACTTTTCTCTTTTTTTCAGAAATTCAGCACCTCTTCTATAGTAAAGAAAATGATTGGGGTTTTAGTCATTTTATGTCATGGGCGGTAAGTGAAACTTCTCTTTCTGTATTTTAGACAGTTTTATAGTTATAATCAAAATATTTCTTTGTATTTGGATTTTTGATTATTCTATACTTAATCATTTTTATTTTGTTTCTTTAAGGGGGAACAACAGGGTAAAAGTCTGTAAAAAAGAATTTTTTATTGAAAGAATTGTGCAACAATTGTGATAAGTTTAGCTTAATACAGTTTTTAATTACTATACATATTTTAATCTTCATATAAAAATCAAAAAAACTCAGTGCTTACACAGTACAATGATTATATCTTGTTTTTTAAATTACCCATAACTTGCTGTACTCAAAAGTTTAAAAAAAAAAAAAGTCATCCAAATTTGATGAATGTAATCTTCCTTTAAAAAAAAAAAATTCGCAAAATGTCGTTACATTTTCATGAATTACTCTAAAACATAAACCCTAATTAAAAATCCCTAACTGCAACAAAAACTATATTTACTGTAAACGTTGCACCAAAATTTGAAGTAATTCAGTTGAAAATTTTGCTAGTTAGTGATACAGCAAGTTAAAGAAACATAATTTCAATTAAATTGTAAAAGTTTTGTAATCGATTATTCTTATAAATATATAAAAGTTTGTAACTAACTGTACTGCATCAATACCAAGTTCATAAGATGCTTCTTCTACATCATTGCCAGTCCAACCCATTTTTTTGTCAATCTACTCTCATGGAACACCTCATATGGTTTGGTTGAAATGCTGCGGTCATTTTCATTTTAAGCACTTTCTTTCACTGTAGGGCCTACATTTATTTCTAATTGTTACATAAACTACCAATAACCCTTTGTAACCTTTATTAAAAATTATTACAGCTAAATAGGTTGCTATTTAAACTATTTATACTGAAAGTATTAGTTCTTTTTCTTACATAATTTTTACAAATAATTCCAATATAATAGCTAAAATTATTCTTTTACTAAAATATTTTGATAAGAGAGAGAAAATCCATAAATCAATTGAGCACACAAGTTCACTTATTCTTACATTTCACAACTCGTTGTGCACCAAGCTTAACATATTATGTTAAAAATATTTTGTATAAATATTTTGTTTCTTCAAAGGATAAACTATCGAAAAATACAAACAAATAGAATTAGTATTTTTATATGTAAATAATAAAGAATCATCAGAATTATGTAGTTAGGTTTATGTAAAAAAGATCTTTTGAGTGTTTTATATTTTGTAGTGTTTAAACGTTTTCTAGACATTTTGCTAAACATCTGCAGGGTTCCCACGGGTTAGGGAGAACAGGGAAAACCTGGAATGGTCAGGGAAAGTTGCAATTTTTTTACAAAAACCTGGAAAATTCCTTCAGTATACCTGGCAAAAAATCAGTCTTGAATTGTCAGTAGCAGTACTAAGTTGTTGAAATTCGAGTTAAATAATTCTAACATCTATTACAATTATTTATTGTAAAAAGACAAACTGAAATGCTTCCTTCCTCATATAATATTTGTTTTACATAGAAAATCTAATACTTGGCGTTACAAATAAAAGAATCAAAATGTTCCGATGAAAAATTTCATAGCATACATAAAATATGGTATTAATTTTCATTGAAATATACCTGGAAAAGTCAGGGAATTTTTTTCTGAAATTGAGTTGGAATCCTGATCTATATTTGTCCTTAGTAATAGAAATTGTTAAATAAATAATCAGATAAATTTTTCAGTTATTTTATTCAATATATTAACAATTAAAACTTTGTGTATTTTTAGGAAGTATGTGATCCCGAAAAAGGTTTTATTAAAGATGATAGTGTTATCTTTGAAGTAACTGTTACTGCTGATGCTCCTCATGGTGTTAGGTAATTATTTTTATCCTGTTTTCTTTTGAAAAAGTTTTTTTTTCTTTCTAATAATTGCTAGAGAGAGAGAAGAAATTAAATTGTCCAAAATTTTGCATTGTTTTCAGTTAAGTGTTTTTTTATTTGTTGTACTGTCAAATTAAATAAAATTTAAGGTATCCGACTACCTTCGGGACAAAATTTTTAAAAAATAAATATTTTCCACAACATTATTGCAATTTATATTGTATATTAATTTAAATAAACATATTTAATAGAGAAAATTGAAATATACAGGAAATTTTTTGTTTAAAGAGTATTTTTAGATAATTTTAATGAAAATAACTCATTAACGGAAAACACTCTACACAAAAAACTATTGTACATACAGCTATCAAACTTTTTGAGTCGTTTCGTATAACCCTCTGAAGTGTTATGAACCTCAACTTAAATGATATCATGAAATTAAAAAAATTTATGGAGTGTTAAGCATATTTTTCCATTTTTTTTCACATTTTCTTCATATTATCTACTGCAAAATATCTCATAAAACGAAAAATAATTCAGTTATCTGAATTCTGGAGGTCTGTCATATAACCACCAATACAAGAAACAATCTCTGAAAGTTTGAAGACAAATTTATAATAATTAGTTGAGTTATCTTGTTTTCCGTAGACAAAAAAACAGAAAAATTTTCATTTTGAGAAAAACACAATTAAAGTTTATAATTACATTTTTTCTAAAATCTATGAATGTTTGTCAGTAGGAAGTTATTATATCTTATAGGGGGCACATTTTCTTAGTTTTATTTAACGTATTTAGCGATATTTTAAAGTATTTAGTGAATAACATCAAAAGTCTACTACTTATAAAGCATTTAACACAGGAACAATTTTTTATTAAACAACCATCTTACTGCATTTTCAAACTTTAATATATATGTCTAAATATAGTTTTTATTAATAATTAGAAGTAAAAAATATTTTTTTAAATATTTATAATAGCCCAAATCTAGAATTTTCTACTAAATGCAATTTGTTATCATAGCAAACCGGGCATCATAATGAAGCTAATATCATCATCAGGATCTCAATATCAATTATTCGATTGCCACACAGATTGTTTTTTTCCAAAAAGATCAGTTCTTTATTGACATCCATAGAAATCGATAATTTTGAAGAGCTTGAAGTAATAGATTCATCTGCTTTACCCAATTTTGAAGAAATGGTATAATCAACTTTACTCAAATCATCGCTTTTGTTGGCATGTTGATTACGGTAATATTTACGTTTCTTAGATCGAGAAGTACGTTCTTTACCCATCTCAATAAATTTATCAAAATAAATAACTAATATATGTTTGAAAGAAATCAATAAATTTCTTCAAAACAAATCAAAATCAAGATATAGAAAGTACGCTTCAAATGTAAACAAACTATCAGAAAATATCCTAACTTTTCATGTTACCCACAAACAGTAACCACGAAACGTAAAATCTAATTAAAATATAATTCAGATTATTAGCCGAGAGTTTAAGAGCTTTTAAAAATTAAATGTCTAAGAAAAATAAACACACAAATAGAAATGGAACCGAAACTATTACCTACTACCGGCTTCATTTTTGTAATTTCCGGTAAGTTGGACAGCTGTCATCTGTTACTAAAATAGCTATAACTAAAGTTCTGCTTGACGTGCATTCAAAAACAAAACAGTTTTGAAAACTAGAAAAATTGGGCATTATTATAAAGCAATAAAATAAAAAAGTGATTTTTTGTGAAAATCCTCGTTTTTAAGGTAGCTGGATACCTTAAATAAGTTAAGAGTAGTTTTTTGTTGAAATAATCCTTAACTTTGACTAAATCCTAATTAATATAATCCTAGCAAAATAATACTAACTAATAATGCCTGCACGCTAGTAATTATTTATTTATTTAAAAGAAAATGACCAATTCAAATCGCAAATAATATTCTAAAAATATTGTGAAATAATTAACAGTTTATTTTTTTTACAGTTGGGACTCAAAGAAACACACTGGCTATGTTGGTTTGAAAAATCAAGGTGCTACATGTTATATGAACTCATTGCTCCAAACATTATTTTTTACTAATAAACTTCGAAAGGTAAGTTTTATAATTTTAGAGTTAAAAGTTATTTGTATGTTTCCAGCAATTGTAAATTTCGCTTGTTTTGTCAACTAAATTTAAAAATTATTTTTTTAATTTGTGTTATGCATGGTTATAAAAGGTAGAAATGCTCCAACGTTATTGAAATCCAGTTGTTGAAATTTAATAGCGATTTTTAAGTGTTAATTTAAAAATCTGAAAATCTATTGCTTGACTGTAAAAGATTTTTTTAATCATAAATTGTTAAAATAAAATTCATTGTATTAAAATATGTCTATATTATGTGTATATGTGTGTATACTTTTATTCTTTCTTATCTAGGCAGTTTATCAAATTCCTACTGAAAGTGACGATTCTTCAAAAAGTGTTGCTTTAGCTTTACAGAGAGTTTTTTATGAACTTCAATTTTCTGATAGGCCTGTCGGAACTAAAAAGTTAACAAAATCATTTGGGTATGCAATTTTTCTGCATTTGTTTTAAAAAATGCTGATAAATGTTTATTCCCTAAAAACATCCTGAATTTTATTATTTTAACTTATAAATTTATTATTCCCTGTTTTTTTTTTTTTTTAAATAAAAAAAATTGTAATAGGTAACGACAATTTTGATCGAGTTTTGTTATGAAAATATATTCCTGCTGGTATTAAATATTCTAACTAGTATATCAGAATTGTAGAACTTTAAATAATTTATTATTCCATGTTTTTTTTGTTGTTTTTTTTTAATAAGGAAAGTGGTAATAAATGACAATTAAAAATATATTCCCGCTGGTATAAAATATTCCAACTAGTATATCAGAATTGTAGAACTTTAATTAGATCATTTGATATTTTGGAACTGATGGACTATATGCCTGCTCCCATTTTTTGGGAGGAAAAAAGATGTTCACCCACATTCTTGTTAATGACTGGCAATGTGGTTTTTAGATTGTGGCAAGGTTGGCATTTCATCTGGAAAGGAACCTATTTCCTCTAAGACATTTGCATATTTTGTGTTCATGAATGATCATAATGAAAGCGAACCTCAAATTTAATAGGGCTGTAGTATCTGAATCCGCTTTCGGAATGTGATGAAAGTAGCACCAATTAAAATGTGCTGTTTGAATCTCAGCGATAGCTGGTTGGTAAGAATTCCACACCCGGCTCACACCGACCATAATGCTGACGTAAAATATCCTTAGTGGTAGACTGATTGTGAATTAGTCCCTTTGCTGCCAGGCTAACATTGGGTAGTTTTTGGGGTTTTCCTCTCCATGTAACGCAAATACAGGTTATTTCCATCAAAAAGTTCTCCTTGAAGTCAAAATTTTGCCCTATGCTTGATCCTGGAGTTGCTTTATCTTCTGGATTTGGTTTAAAATTACGAGGCTATGGCATTGAACATTGGTAGCCATAAACTCAAAATTAGGCTGGCTGTTCAAGGGCAGTTATAAAAATATCAGATGCATAACAATTAAATATCTTTTTTTATTTTTCAATAAATAAAAATTTTTTTAATTATAACACTACCTCCTTCACAAAATATAATTTTTGAAATCAATGATGTCGAAATCTAAAATTTTATGTAATTTAGTATGAATTTTATTGTTATTAAGTTAAATAAAAGTATATTTAAAAGACTATAAAAATATCTTGATCTAATGATTTCGTTCCTTAGTGAAATTTTGTTATCTAAGTATGTTTAAAAAGTAATATCTCAAAATGTACTGTTAAAAAATTCATTAATTTTGAATTTCTCTAATTATTTAGTTGGGAAACTTTAGACTCCTTCATGCAGCATGATGTTCAGGAACTATGCAGAGTGGTAAATAAGTTACATATTTTTTACATTTTAATTTATTTTCTTGAATTGTATATTTAGAGGAAGCAATTCTATTCATTAAATGCATTATAATTTATTTTTAATATAATTACATTGCATTTACACCTTTCAACAGCATAGACTATAATAAATCTAATTTCAAGTAATAAGTTTAAACTAATTGAGTAATTTTTTTCATGCCATTTGTTACCTGTTGGTTAAATATGACATCTAGAATGTCTGGGGCAATCACGTTACCAAATTAATAATTTTCTTTAGCTATCATTGGTGTTCTCTGTCGTTGGTGTGTGTACATTAATTTTGAAAAATATTTTATTGGTGTTTGATGAATGAGAGCTCTTGAAAGAACAAAATCCTTAATCCTTTTGCTATTTTAAATGATGTTGAGAAATCTAAAAAAAAGTGCAGACCAGGCATCCTTTGGATGATGGTTGTGTGAGTGGAGAAAATGCATATTTCTACTGAACTCTGGTGAAAATATTGTTCAATATTTGGTATCTGAATACTTCAAATAATGATAAAATTTAATTAAGAAGCAAGTAAAACTATTCTCATTAATCGTTTTATTTTGTTTTCAAAATTTTTGTTCTATACTAATTATACAGTAAAGACCGATAGAAGTTTTAGAATATTAATTTAATTTCCCTTTAAAAAAATTAAACTATTATAAATGAAAAACTTTTAATTCTATTTTTTATCTTTATTTTTTTAATTAAAATTAGACATAAAATAAATTAAAGAAAAAATAAATTAAAATGATTTTATTAAACACAAAAATTTTTTGCTGGAAAATAAAAATAAAGAGAATCTAACATTGCCAGTCTTAAATTTTATTCTTCCTGAATTCACTTTTGGGTAATTTGTTAAAATTAATTCTGAATCAAAGTTATTGCTGTAAGAATCTATGTTCAAGAAATTGTATAAAAATATTTATATGTCAATTTTAGCTTTTAGATAACATGGAGAGTAAAATGAAAGAAACTTGTGTTGAAGGCACAATACCAAGGCTTTTTGAAGGGAAAATGACTGTAAGTTCTTCTTTTTTATTTATGTATTTAAGTGTTACATCTTGTTTAATATTTATCCTTAAAGATATCAATGAAATCACGTAACTTGTGATTAAAACTGTCTATATTCTTACAATGGAACTCTTATAATGAGCCCTAATTTATTATGAGTCTGGATTTTACGAAGAAATCTGAAATACTTGGTGGGTACAAAGTTAAGTCTGTTGGATCATAGCTTACTTTTAAGAGGCAAACCCAGGTTGTAGTGAGTAATATTGTAATGATTTGTAAAGTTTCTACTTATTTACAAATCTCAAACTCAGATAACCCTTTCTTGGAAAATTTGTGTCTGATGTTTTTCTGTTCTACAAATTCTTTTTTGATGTTTTTCGGAATGATATTTTTTATGCCGATTATGTTTATCGGGCTATAAGTCTTATCCAAAGATCAACAGAAACAATGAGACAGTTCAAAGCTATTTTAAAATATATATGTCTTGTTCAAAGCTTTTGTGACTTTTATTCTGTAACTGAAATAAAAAAGATATTAAGTAAGTGCTATATTTATAATTTAGTTCTTAAGTATGTATTAACTTCTAGGTTGTTGTTTTTTTCCACAAATTTTTTTTTTTAACGCTTGGTTGCAACAAACAAATTTCCATTCATCTTCAATATAAACAAGTTAGACTTTTTTTTAAGCTTATTTTTAATGTTGCTGTTTTAGGTGATCAACATTCCGCTACTTTTTGTTTAGCAATGAGAGATTTCTTTCCTTTAGAAATTGTAAAGGTGTATAGAAAACACTTTTTTTATGTTATTATGCATTCCACTACTTTATCTATCTGTAGTGTATTATTAATTATTTGTATTAAATATAAAAATAAAGATTTCCTTTTTGTAAAGCTATTTAAAAAATTTTGAATGTTAGTGCATAGAATAGAAGCCTAGTTAATACAAATCATTCTTAAAATTTCTGCAATCCCTTTCATTGTTCATATGAGCGTACTGGTGGGTAAAAAACTCAAATTTAAATACCTGTTTAAATTTCCCATAAGGCAAGAAAATATGGCTTGTGTAAAATGTAGTGCTACGCAGGTAAGTTTAAATTTTTAAAGTTTCAAAATTTTTTCAAAAGATTCAGCTGCTATTTTTTATTTTATTATCATAATAAAATAAGCAGTTCTTTGAGATTGTATATCTTTTTAAACTTTTTTTTAATGTACTGCATGCACTGTACCTTTTATATATATAATCAGCAAGGACTACAGTGCCCGCCGTTTATTAAAATCACTTTCGTTTTATGCTCTTTTGATNGTATATCTTTTTAAACTTTTTTTTAATGTACTGCATGCACTGTACCTTTTATATATATAATCAGCAAGGACTACTTTGTTAAGACTTACTATTAAGTAAAACTGCCATTATAAAATATTTCTTTTAAAGAAATTTCTTGTAAATCAATTATATTTTAGTATTTTAAGTGAAATATAGACATCTATGCAATTTTTTTGTTTAGTATTTTTGTATCAATGTTTTAAAAATATTGAATTCAAAGATGAGTCTATACTTCGCATTATAGGAATAAAGTTAACAATACTTTTTTTGTATTTAATAATTTTCTGTACAGTAAATAGAGAAAATAGACACCAAACGGTGCCTTCCAAATTTAATTCACGCAGCCGAAATAACATAGATAAAGGCTTTAACTTTTGTTGTTTGATTTATGATATTTGTTAGTGTTATAGTCAAAATTCAGAGTATTTTTCCATAAAAAACATAGTTACATTTGTTACTTTTTGATTTGTTACTGTGAAGATGAATAAAAAACTACATACTTAGCCAAATTTATTTCCAATTCTAAATAGAACTGTAATGTTGTTTTTGAACTTTACTTGCTATTTAGTTTTATCAACTTCAATATAGTAAATTAAAATTCTGCTTATTAAATTGTGAATTTCGTGACAGTTTATTTTTCTTATTTTTAGTCTTTTCTTCGATGTAAGCATGTAAATTATACATCTAGTCGTAAAGAGCCTTTCTACGACATCCAGCTGAATGTTAAAGGAAAGAAAACAAGTATGTTGCAATATTTATTTTTCTGTGAAATTTTTTTAATTTAGTTTTTAAATTAACCCAATTTAGCAGATAAAGGTGCAAAGTATTCTTCAGCTTCTAAAGGGTCTTGATATCTTATTTTCCAAAGAAGGATTTTTATCAAGGAAAAGAACACTTCCTTTTTAAGTTGACTTCACATTATAGGGATCATTTTATTTACATTCAAATTTAATTCATATTAACACATTTCTTTAAAAGGGTAACATTTCCAACTTTATATATCAACTGCCTTAAATATGTGAAGTGTTAAAAAATGAAAAAAAGAGCTTAAATGATCAGTTGACTCATAAAAGAAAAAAAAAAACTTTCAAACTTTCCTCTTTAATATACTCATTAAAATTTTTTAAACCATTTTTAGGATCTGAGGCCGAAATTACCCTTAGGATTCTGGACAACAATTTTGGGGGTATAAAAGGCACATACACACTCTTCCTCTTATTATTGATATAATAATCTGAAATTATTCAAAAGCATTTGAAGATTATTTTATACTACCCTTAGTATCCAGTTTTCAACCTCTTTCACATGTATTTACATCCCCGTGGCGACATTGTCGCAGAACGTTAGAGTTCTTGCAGAAAGATTTTGCCTTTGGGAAATAAAAATTTTTACTTTTTTTTCTGCTGAAATTTTCAAATGATTTTATCTTTTCTTCAGAATTATATTCAATGCCTTCCTTACTTGCTCATCGGAGTGGGGAAAAATGCTTGTGATTTTTCATTTGAGAATAATGAAGTAAAAAATTTGGTTTTCTTTTCTGTAGAAATTTTAGTTCTATTTTGTATGCTGTTATTACTATTGATTTCCTCATAGCTTTTAAAATCCGGTATTTTAAAAGCGATATTTTTAGTGCAGTATTATTTATTACAGTAACTGAATTCCGAAATGAAAATACACATTTTAGTAACTCCTGTTTGAAGAGTTCGATTCGCGAGATTTCGTCGTCGATCTTTTTTTTTCTTTTTGATAGTTACTACTGCTACGGATTTCACTATTTTTTTTACGGATGAATTATAACATGTGAAAAAGGAAATAGTGTGTAAAATTAGTGACATGTATATTTTTAAAATATCTTGCAATATTAGAGAGGTATGTCGGAGAAAGCCTGAAAAAATGTTGCCACTGCGATTTACATAATTTTAATTCTCTTAATTAACTCTCTTTAATTAACTCTCAAACATGATCCTTTGGGAGAGGACAAAAATGTTTCATAGAACTGTGAAGTCAGAACAGTCAAGCAACTTTTTTTTTAATACTTGGCATAGATTACTGTTACTTGGTGTTAGTTTTAATTCCATTGATGATTGATAAAATTTTGTAAGAAAATATTTATTTGCAAATAAGAAAATATAATTTTGAACATTGTAGATGAAGTTGACATAATAACTCAGTATCATATTAACCATGCAATAAGCACATCAAAAGCAAACTGCCTTTGTTATGTGTTACTCATAGTTTTTTAACATTGCTTTATTTTCTGATTTTGAGAACTTTATTTTATCTTCAATTTTCTTTCAGCACTAAATGCATCTGGCTCTTTTACCTGTAAATTATACCTTCAATCTAATATTTTGTAACTTCCCATTGATAGTATACTTTTGGTTGTTTATGTTAAGTTTCTTTATCTATTTTTTCTTCCAGTAATAGAATCTTTTAAAGACTATTGTGCTACCGAAACTCTTGATGGGGAAAATAAATATGATGCCGGGGAATATGGCTTGCAGGAAGCTGAAAAGGGAATTTTCTTCTCTTCTTTACCACCAGTATTACATCTGCATCTGTTGAGGTTTCAGTATGATCCTATGACTGATCAAAATATAAAAATTAATGATAGGTATGTTTTTAATCCTTTATTTTGTTTCTTTAATAAATTAAACATATCTTATGATTATTAAAAATAAATCATTGAAAACAGAGTAGAAACAATCTGTCTAGTTTTTATTAATTTATTATTATATGTTTCTGAATTCACGTAATTGATAATAGAGACTAAAATAGGTAGCACAGATTGAATCTTTTAGATTTAGATAACCACTAATCTAGCTTATTAACGCAATGGATTATGCCTTATTTTTTTCTGATACTTAATCAAATCTTTAGAGTTTCGTCAAAATACACTTTTCCAATTAGTTTGACTTTGTCGTTATGATATAAAAGACTCCTAACTAAACCGTAGGCTTGATTTGCCCATTGTTTTACCTGTAATGCGACCAGTACATTGTAGCGAATCTTGTTGGTACAATCTAAGCTTGTAAGAATAAAAATGTTTACTTTAATTTTTGCTTAAGATGAGGGGAAACAGTTTCTCCACCTTATCTTTTGGAAATTCATAATAATTGCTTTGTTTAATACAAACATAAGAAGAAACTTATGTTTGAGACCAAGTAATTTTCTTAAAGGAGGTCATTATCTGGCAGTCAGATAAATTCCTTATTCTGACCTTTGCATTGACCTCTCTAATTTTAAAAAGTTATCGCTTTTACTGAACAAGTCAAGATTCTAAGTTCTTGTTCAGTTATCGCTTTTACTGAACAAGATAGTGCATTTGTTCTTGGTGCTAAAGTGGGAAGTTCATTTCGTTCACATCAATCTGCAATTGGTGACATCTAAGATTGAACACTAAGAGGGTGCTGACTTTTGACAGCAAAGTGAGTTATATCAACCTAGGTGGTGAACCTGAGGAAAAAGAAAATAACTGTATTCTTTCCCTGCTACTTTTGAAATTTTTTTATGGGCTTTTTATTTGGTTGCTAGCATTTAGCTGAATTAAATTCTACAAACAAAATAATATAAACAAATATAGAGTACAAAATTTCAAACAAAGTTAATGTATGATTTTTTGAAGATTCTAAGTTAAATAGGTTAATCTGATCCGTATTACAATTTTATCGTTTGATACTTTAGCTGTAATTCCTTACTCTTCCATATGCAATTTAAATCCTTTGATGCCTAGTGCTTTGTTTTTTAAAGTCATTCTGGTTGTCTTTAGCTGTTTTATTGTTTAATGTGAAAAGATTTTTGCTACTCTTTGACTTAAACTGATAGTCGAGATTCAAAAATGTTAAATTTAAAGATTACAAGAAACGTGTGTTGTAACCCATTTACTAAAATCCCTGTAAAATAAGACAAAAATTATCAGTAAGAAAAATTTGTGCTAGTGAGCTTTCACAAGTTTTTACCACAACTGAGTGAGTAGTCCACACCAATAATTTTATGGCTTTAGTAGTTCAGCTTTCCTCGTACAACATAACCATTCGATATTGTTTGTTTATTAATCCTTTTTTTTTTTTTAATTATGTGATTTTTTTTCTTTGCTTAAAATTGTTATATGACCATAAATTAAATTTGTTTTTTGCAATATTTCAGGTTTGAATTTCCAGAACAGCTGAATTTAGAAGAATTTTTAAAAAGTGATGAAGACACTGGACCGCCTATCTACACTTTGCATGCTGTGTTAGTTCACAGTGGCGATAATCATGGCGGACATTATGTAGTGTTTATAAATCCGAAAGGCGATGGAAAGGTAATTTATTATAGCAACAGTTTTATTTATTTTTTTTAAATTACGATTGGTGTTTGTTATTGATTCATTTTATTTTGTTTTTAGTGGTGTAAATTTGATGATGATGTTGTGTCTCGCTGTTCTAAACAAGAAGCTGTTGATCATAATTTTGGTGGCCAAGAAGAAGATTTAACTGTCAAACATTGTACAAATGCTTATATGTTAGTGTATATAAAAGATAGTGCAATAAGTTAGTTTCATTTTTTGCTTAATAAGATATTTATGAGTGCTACAGTAATAATTCATTATTTTTCCTGTACTTAATCTTATTGTAATTACAGCTGATGTGTTGCAACCAGTTACAGAGCAAGATATACCAGATCAATTAGTAGACAGACTCCAAGAAGAAAGGTTAGGTTTTTGTCATATATATAAGTTTACACTCTTTAGTACAATCCTCATTACTGTTTTCTTTCTTTATAATACAGGGATGAGATTCTTCCTCGGATTCGCGGATTTCCGCTTTTTCTCAGATTTTTCCATTTTTTCCGCTAATTTCAGCTGAAATTTTTTTTGCACAAGTTATTATATTTTATGAGGAATTTAATTTTCCGCTGAGTGAAATTATTGAAGTCCTCATTCCTCGCTCTGAAGTTTCTCTAAAAATCATTTCCTTGGGATAAAACTGGTTGACCTTTATACAGGGATGAGATTTTCATCTCTTTTGTCTCTCGAATTTCAGCCTTTTTATCAAAAACTCAGATTCTCTAAAAATTTGGTTTTTTTTTAATCATTTATAAATATCCCGTTTTTTTTTAAATTCAGTCGTTGAAGTCAAATTATTATATTTATTTACGATTTTCAAAGAAAAACAGAAAATTCAAACTACGTCCTAGCTGCTAATCCTTTCGCATGTTTACTTATATTAGCTATTTTCTCCGATTTCACGCACAGAAAATAAGATTTTCCGTATTTTTTATCCGTCGGCGGGATAGCTCGCATTTTCGTAATTTAGACGTCGCTGCTTCTTGCATTCTGGAGAGAAAGCAAACAAAAAAAGCGAAAAAAAATAGAGGTGGATTTGTGGTGAAAATATTTTCTTGCTCATTCAATTAATCTTGTAAATTTTTATTTATTGTGTAAACAAAAAACAATTCAAACAAGCCTTTTAGAAATCAGAAGTCCAGACTCTGCAAATATCTCGATTTTTATTCACGCGATTTTAATATCAATCATCGATTTTCGTATTTACCTGATTTAAAAGTTGAACGTTGCGATTCTTATTCAGGCCATTTAAATATTGTACATTGCGATTCTTATTTACGAGATTAAAAACCCAATATCGCGCTTTGTATTTACGAGCTTTTAAAACCCCATGTAGCTACGCGAGCTTAAAATCCAATGTCGTGATTCGTTTTTGCGGTTGTAATATCGCGCGATTTTAAAATTATGCATCTTGATTTAAAAATTACGCATCATGATTTCTATTTTCGCATTTTTTAAATTCGATTTAGAGTTTCATATTCACGTGATTTAAAAGCCTCATATCGGGATTTATAATCACATGAATTACAAGTTTAAACAGAAATTTGACAAAAAAAGTGCGATTTATATATATATATATATATATTCTTGGATTTCCTCTTTTTTACTTGCTGACTACTCTCATCCCTGATAATAGTACCAAAGAAAATGAAAAAAAAAAATCACTCCAAAAGTAGACTTAAAATATTTTTTGGCTTTCAAATCGAACATTTTTTCCTTGTTGATCAATACCAAAAGTCTAAAGGAAATTATTCAAACCACTGGAATATTTGATATTACGCTCAACATGCTTGAAGCATCTATTGATGAAGAAATAGTGACAGGTCCATTCATTTTTATCCTTGGTGTAATCTATGATAATAACAATAGAGAATATTGTTACTTTTTTTTTTATAATTGAGAATCTTCTAATGGAAGTTAGTCTCCTGTATGCTTTCATTCCTCTTTGTGAATTTGATTACGAAGCAATCAATACATTTTATTTATTTGTTTTTAGAAATGTTGTATTAAGTAGTTCATTTTGGAATTAAAACACATGGTTGTCATAACTTCTTGATTTTATGTTTGTTCAAACCAGAGATGGTGGATCTTTTTCAATTAGTATGCCAGTTAAATAAGGATTTATTATTTTAGGGATTCTAGTGTGTCATTTGTTGCTCAAGCTTGACATTTTCTCTTTAAAAAACTAGAGTTCAATTCGAAAACAGCTGCATAGAATTTGCAAGTTTTGTAATTCAGTTTGGATTATCTCTTTACATCTCATCTTTCTTTTTTCCTTTTCACACTCACTCATTTTTCCTTTTCGAGCAAAAGTCATTTTCCCTTACAATCTGGAAAATGTCATTGTGCTAATACCCATAATCACTTCTATTTGCTGCTGGTAATAGATTTGTTTATTTTTGAAATATTATTGAATATAAGTAACTTAATCTGAACTTCTTACATACCACTGAAATACCTATGTACCACCTAATGGCACTCATTGCATGGGTTTGCCCTCTCTGACTTAGGCTTTGAGATTCTCTGAAACATATGTTAATTGTCAAAAATGACTAGACCTTACAGGCGTAACGCTATGGGTTTCAAAAAGAAATTTAAAATTTTGAATGAAATGAATATCAGAATCGGAAATTATAAGAAATAAAAGCAAATGATGCTGTCTGATTTTTGGAAAGAACTGAGTCTTGTAAATTTTTCTACCCTTAAATATACTTTTAACCCTAAAAGGTCAATTTTTTTTTATGAAGTCTTCCCTCCTTGTCCAATTATTTTTGAAACAAAGAAAGTAGACTTAAACTAAAACAGAAATAAATCAGTAAAGAATAATGCAATCCTATATTTTTTAAAAGATATAAACTTTTAGAAGCAAAACAATTGGTAGATGTTTTTAATTAATTTATATCTATGTATAATATTTTAAAAATTCCAATTTAAATTTTTTACCTTGTTATAATTATTTTAAGTTTTTATTAAAAATTAATTATTAAAATGAAAACAAAATATTTTTAAAAAAAATTCTACTAAGCTTTATATAAATAGTCTTAAATAACATATTTTAACTATAAAATAATAAAACAATTATGAATTTTTTTCTAAAAGTTTAAATCTTGTAAAAAATTTAAACTAATGAATAATATATTTATGTGTTGAATAAAACATACTAAATATTTATCAATCTTATTAGATCAGAAATCTAGAAATATAAATGAAATATCTCAACTCTGATTTGAATCTCTCCCATCTCTCAATTAAAGGGCAGATAGCTTAACTGTTATGCCACAATTCCATGTGACAGGGATGAGATTCTTCCGCGGATTCGCAGATTTCCGCTTTTTTTCAGATTTTTCCATTTTTCCCGCTAATTTCCGCGGAAATTTTTTTTTGCACAAGTAAAAATGTTTTATGAGGAATTTAATTTTCCGCGGAGGGAAATTATTGAAGTCCCTTTTCCTCCCTCTGAAGTTTCTCTAAAAATCATTTACTTAGGATAAAACTGGTTGACCTTTATACAGGGATGAGATTTTTTTTGTCTCTCGAATTTCAGCCTTTTTATCAAAAACTCCGATTCTCTAAAAGTTTCGTTTTTTTAAATAAATATCCCTTTTTTTTTAAATTCAGTCATTGAAGTAAAATAATTATATTTATTTACGATTTTCAAAGATAAACAGAAAATTCAATCTACGCCCTAGCTGCTAACCCTTCCGCATTTTTACTTATTTTAGCTATTTTCTCCGATTTCACGCACAGAAAATAAGATTTTCCGTATTTTTTATCCGTCGGCTGGATAGCTCGTATTTTCGTAATTCAGACGTCGCTGCTTCTTGTATTCTGGCGTGAAAACAAACAAAAAAGAGGAAAAAAATAGAGGTGATTTGCGGTGAGAATATTTATTTGCTCATTCAATTAATCTTGTAAATTTTTATTTATTATGTCTAAACAAAAACAATACAAACAAGCCTTTTAGAAATCACAAGTCCAGACTCTGAAAATATTTCGATTTTTATTCACGCGATTTTAATATCAATCATCGATTTTCGTATTTACCTGATTTAAAAGTTGCACATTGCGATTCTTATTTACGCTATTTAATTATCGTATATTATGATTCTTATTTACGACATTTAAAACCCAATATCGTGTTTTGTATTTATGCATTTTTAAAATCGCGATTTTATTATCAAATCTCGATTTTCGCATTTACCTGATTTAAAAGTTGAACGTTGCGATTCTTATTCAGGCGATTTAAATATTGTACATTGCGATTCTTACTTACGAGATTTAAAAAATCAATATCGCGATTTGTATTTACGAGCTTTTAAAGCCCTATGTAGCAATTCGTATTCACGCGAGCTTAAAATCCAATATCGTGATTCGTTTTTGTGATTGTAATATCGCGCGATTTAAAAATTATGCATCGTGATCAAACAATTAAAAAATCATGATTTGTATTTTCGCATTTTTTAAATTCGATGTAGAGTTTCCTATTTACGTGATTTAAAAGTCTCATATCGGGATTTATATTCACATGGTTTACAAGCTTAAAAATCGCAATTTTTTATATATATATATTTATTTATTTTTGGGATTTCCTCTTTTTTACTTTCTGACTGCTCTCATCCCCGATGTGAACTAAGGAGTTCATCATTTTTCAGTAAATGATATAAAACTTTGACACCAGGCAGCAGTAACTGCAAATTTTTACTCTTATCCAAGGTTTTCAACCTTTCCCTTTAATTTGAGCAGCTTTATCTCGTTTCAATACGGGTGTACACTTTCCTCATAAAAGAAAGTCGTTGAAAGATTTGACCTTTATCTCTGTTCTAAACAATAAGGAATCTGTGTTTACCTAAAAAATGACACCATATTTTTAACTCGAATACGGTTTGGGACAAACCGGGACTTCAAGTTTTCTAATTCATTTGGTTACATGTATATTACTGAATTATCAATTAACCGAGATAATGAAGCAAGACTTTTTTACCTTTCATTCATATTTTTAATCTTTTCTATTATTATACTAAATACATTTGCTAATGATAAGCATTTTCTCAAATAATTATTTTTAAAATTAAATGGTACCTAATTATTTTTGTACATTTTAGGCGACAAGAGGCTTTACGGAGAAAAGAGCGAAATGAAGCCCATTTGTATATGAATGTACAAATAGTTACATCTGATAATTTTTGTGGTCATCAAGGAACAGATTTATATGATCCTGATAAAGTAAATTATAGGTACACTATTACAATTTCTTATATTTAAAAAAATATAGCTTTGAAAGAAAAAACAGATAATAATTTTTATTCTTTTTGCTATAGATGCTTTAAAATTAAAAAGTTATGTACCTTACGAACTTTCATGGAGATTCTATCTGAACAAATGGTAAGCATTTATTTAGTATTTTATTTTAGCATTCTAATATTCTTTGTTCAATGCCTTAAAAAATCTCAATTTGTGATAATAAAAAATAATAGAGTATTAGTTATCTAAGGGCCAATTAACCTGATTTCTCAGCTTTCTCTAAAAATATTTTTTATCTGAAGGAAATCAAAAATTTGTTTCTTGAAAATTTTTACACTTGCTTTATTCTGCCTTGGAATGCTGGACCAGTTTTATTAGTTTTAAAAAAGGGGACTAAAGCACTCATGCTATTTTTTTAGTAAATTGGAAAGAGTAAGAAAGTTTTTTAAACATGTCCTAAAAAATGAGAAAAATGTATGCTATCCTTACATTAAAAGATTGAAAAAAGGAGAAAACGTAATCAAAATAATTAAATATGGCTCTGAGTGGTCAACTACATTAGTTATTGTATCAGTTTTGAATAAAGGCTATGTAAAACAAAATACACTCTGTGAACTATGCTAAAATTTGTACTGCTGCAAATCCTAATCTCTGTTAAAAGAGGAAAAATAAGTAAACTAAAAAACAACTGTTTTTTTTTCCTTCCAAGTTGCCCAATTGTTCCAAATTTCGTTGATTAATGATCTACTGTATTTTTATCTTTTATTGAAGTTTTCAATACAAAATTTCATTTACAGAAACTTCTTTTTTCTAATAAAAATTTTTAAGAATAAATTTTATCTGGAAAATCAATATTTTGATTTGAAATTAGTTCTTATTTTCAAACTAGGTATTTTACAATTACAGTACTAATTTACTTCTTATTATCTCTATTCAATTTCAAAAATTGTATCTAAAGCTGGGAAAATTTCTTCATAAAAATGTTAATTATCGTACAAAAAATTCAGAATTTTATGAAATAAACTTCTGTGCAGCATTTTATAGATATCTATATAAATGATATTTTTCATATTTGCATGTTAAGATTTTTATAAATGTTTTTTCTGTTTATATTTAGTAGTTTTTTAAATTAAAGAAAATTTTATGTTTTATTTTTAGAAATATCCAATCAATATGATAAGGCCATGGCCCTTAATTTACCGAACGAATCAAACTTGCAGACCTGTAGCAATAGATACTGAAACTGAAGGCAGTAAACCAGTAAGATTAGAATCTATTACACATGTTATTGTTTCATTTGCATTTATTCATATCACTAATTGATTTTTCTCCTATAGATAATAGATATGGCTGATAGCACTAGTCCATGGACAGTTTTCTTAGAAACTGTTGAACCAGATTCTGGAATGCTTTCTATACCAGAATTTGACAAAGATAGTAAGTTTTTCCAATGATAGTATAGATGTATAGCACTTTCTATTTAGCTTATTAATGATAAAACTTTTGCACTTAGTAGGCATTTATAAATGCATAGCTACAACTAGATTTTTTTTATTTAATTCTATGTTTATGAAAACTGATCAGTATATTCAGTGTTCCTCAATTATTTTAATTGATGGTACACTAATATTATCATATTGTCTGTACCTTGCCTATTACTTTACTACTACAGTGATCAACCTTAACCATGCACCAATTTCATCACATACGAGTTCATGTGCAATACGTTAGTAAAGTATTTATTTTCTTTACCTATTTTAAAGGATTGAATTTATTGTATTTGATGCAATTTATGTAGCAGTACATAAACATGACTTGCCAATTGTGAGACTTTTTCTCCAATCGTTTTTACAGTGTGAGATTTGTTAATAAGAAATAGAAATTTTTTCAAATTTGAGAAATTTTTATGTAATTTTTCCCTTTGATCAATTTTAGAGATTAAAAAAAGCTTGTTTGCATCTGTATGCTGTTTTAAAATGATTATGTTGCTTTTTGTATTTCCATTCAATCTGTGATAGCTAATATAATTGATATTAAACTCTTTGATGGATAGGTAAAAAATATAATTTTTTAATTTTATTTTTTCTTGCAGCTGATGTCCTTTTGTTTTTCAAACTGTATGATCCAAGAAATAAAAGAATGTCTTATTGTGGTCATACATATATGTCAATAAATTCCAAAGCTAGTAAGTAACATATTAGGACTTATAAATAATTCCTTTTTGTAGATTGATTATTCATTTTTCCTTAAAAAATTTTTTTTTCTTTTTAATAGGAGCTCTAATACCAATTTTGAATGAAAGAGCTGGCTTTCCAGAAGATACTGAACTTCTTTTGTTTGAGGTGATAAAATTTTTTAGTAAACTTTTAAAAATATTAACAAAATTCTTAAAATAAAAACAATACATGTTTATTATTTTATGTCCACTAACTAGATTATATTTCATTTTTAAATTTTCTTACAATTTTAAATGTTGATAATTATTGCTTGTTATGTACATAACTTAAGGATGATACTGTTGAATGTTAAAATATGACAAAAGTCTGTATTTATATTTTCCCATAACCAGTCCATAAGAACTGGGATTAAAAAAAACTTAAAAATTTTGCCAATTTTACATTAAACAATTCTATAAATGGAAGTTTTTTTTATTTTTAGATTTTTGTTAACGCTAAATCAATTAAAATTTACAATATTTATTAGATCATGTTATTCTCATACTATTTATGCCACTTTAATGCCTTATAACCATGCACTAAAATAAATGCAAACCTCTGTAATCCTAAGTTAATCCTAACTCTGTAATCCTAACATACTAATTAGATAGGTTTATAATCATTTTGACGCATTTGTGTGTTGACAAAATTAGTAAAAGTATAACATGAAATAAAATTAGTGCTGCAGTGGCTGAGGGGATAGAGCATTCGGCTCCCTATGAGGTGACCCAGGTTTGAATCTAAGTGGAAGCTGTTTGATATGAATAATGCTCTCAGTTTGCACGGTTAGTGCTGATGTCAAATATCCACAATGGTATGGGTTAGAATTCTCTTACTGTCGGGGTATAAAGGTGTTCATAGTTTTTCTCTCCATGTAACGCAAATGCGGGTAGTTGAATAAGAAAGTTTTCGATGTCCCAATGCCTGATCCAGGAGTTCCTATTGTCTTCTGGATTGGGTCCAAAATTACAAGGCTACAGAGTTGAACATAGATGCTCAGAGAGCCTCCTGTTCAATGCTGGATTATGAAATAAAATAAGTAATATTGAATGTGAAATTCAAAATGTTGTTGCTCTTCCTCTCTTTTTATATAATTTTTTTTTATCAGAAAAAGAAGTTTTTGAAAGGGAACTCCTTAAGATGCTTCGAATTCCACAATATTTCATTTATTTGAAATTTATTTAATAAAAAATATTTTCATTTAATTATTTACACAGCATGTCATCGATCAGGCACTTTGAAAAAAAACCAAGTACCTTTTTATATAAATTTTGAAAACTTTGAATTTCAATATTTTATAAATTTAGCAAGAATTTTCTTGAAATTTTAAGATAAGCTGGCAATTTTATTAAGAGGCATGACCTTAATAAAATAAAATAAAAAATCTTAACTGCCATAACTCAGTCAAAATTATTAAAAATAGGCATACATAAAAGGTACAATACTGTTAAAAGAATACAAAAGATATTTCAAACATCATTGTTTGTCACTTGAAAGTAGCATACAGAACTGTACTTAATTCTTAAAAACTTAAATCTGAGTATGATATAGATTTTAACAGGAAATGTCAACAAATTTCTTAAGTTTGGGTAAAAAATTGATGCACCTGTAAAAGAAATACTTTTATAATCAACATGCTTGAAAAATTATTATATTTTTACCTGAATAGTTTTTTTTCTTTTTTTTTTCGTTCTCACAGATATAAGCAGTCAACAAAAACTGCAAGATGATTTGTCTTATTGAAACCTTTAGATAGAACTGTACTGAAGCTTAAATGTGCACTCCAAAGTTTTGTTCATTTCTAAAATATTTTCTTTTAAATTTTTTTTTAGGAAGTAAAGCCAAATGTAGTAGAACGTATTGAAAATATAGATATGCCATTAGAAAAAGTTCTAGATGAGCTAATGGATGGTGATATAATTGTTTTCCAAAGGGCAGATTTGAACTTTGCCGATTATGAATTGCCAACAGCTAAGGAGTATTTTCGGTTAGTTATTGCAATTTCTTTTTTTTATATTTATATATTTTTGCATATTTGTTATTTTCTTAATTTTGCTTTTCCTCTATTATCATATTTTGAGTCCAATATTATTGCAAAACATTGCTAATTATTAAATACATGAATGATTCTGGTTATCTTTTATTTTAAACTAGTACACTAATAAAATTTAAAAATATCTATCCCACACCTAATATTTTTTGACATTCAGCCTATGCATCCCATTTCAAATAAATATTAATTTTTAAAGTAAACGAACTGCAAAAATCTCTTGTTCTTCTAGTTATTTCTAGTTTAAATCTCTAGTTCTGAGCAATAAAAAAAATTTAATTCTTTCATGACGTAGAAAAAATTACTTTGAAATTGGACAACATTCAGGGCTGATTGTGATCCGGAAAAAATCCGGATTTCCTTATTTTTCGCTAACCGTCATCCGGAAGTTTCCGGAGATCGAAGGTTCAGACTTTTCAAAAAATCATTGATCACAAAAGTTTCCAGAAATCAAATTTTCAAAGGTGGAACTTAAAAACACAGTTTATTTTATTTGTTTGTAAGGGAGAGCTAGAGAGATACTTTGTAAACTTATATTCAAGATTAATATTAATTTTTTATCAGTAAATAGTTATTATAATCATAAACTCAAGAAAGAAAGACATATTTGTAAATTTCAATTACTTCTCTAGGGCAACATAGGTATGTGTAAAATTTTAAATATATTTTAAGTAAATTAAGAAATATTGAGAAAAAGGAAAAAACCTTGCTTAAATTTTTTTTCTAATTTTTCGATTTAAACTTTTTTTTTTTTACTCAAGAAATTTAACGGAATTTTGACTTGGGCTCTCAATCACCCCTGAACATTAAAAGAAAAGGAAAAAAAAACAGGGCAATTTAAAATTTTCTTTCTCATTACATTTTTAATGAAAGAACGGTTTTTGTAACAAAATATAGTGTATATTTGACTAGCTAATTAATAATCTATAAATATAATTCACTCTTCAATATAATTTTCAAATTTTGGCATATAATGGATTTAACTTTTTTTTAAACAATCTTTCCTATCTTTAAACCTGCTCTTATTGCCAATCTGTGTGAGTTTTTTTAAACTTTTATTCCATTTATAATGTTCTTTTTTTTAGTGATCTTTTTCATCGAGTTGAAGTTATTTTCTGTGATAAAACTATTTCTAACGACCCAGGCTTTACTGTAGAACTTTCCTTGAAAATGAATTATGATCAGGTTTGATAATTTATTTATTTTTCATTTAATTTCAGTTTTTAATTATTTGTATCATGTACCAAAATGTACCAATTAAAACATGTTACCTAGAAATATTGGATACATTAAACTTTTCTTGGTTTATTGTTATTAATAATGAATATAATTTTTTTTTTTTTTTTCAGATGGCTCATGCTGTTGCAACAAAACTCAATACAGATCCCTATCTCTTACAGTTTTTCAAAGCTATAAAGTATGTAACAATAATTTTATTTAACATTATATTAATTAATAACCAGTAATTACATTTAATAAAAAACTTAGTGGTTTCCCTTTTTTTAAGTACTCTTGACAGTTTTTGTCATCTTAATTTACCCTTTAACTGTATTATAAATTAGTTTGTTTTTTTTTTATTCAATAGGTAAGTCAAATGTAAGGATTAAGGTTAAATGTAATCACATTTAATCATTACCAAATGCTAAAAGCTTAGAGAGAATTACATATAGTATTTGATACCAACCCAACAAGCGTAGAGCTTTGTGTTATTTATACATTTTTAAGACTTTTAATATATTTGTACATAATAATTACTCTTGTTAATTAGTAATTTCATTGTAAGGGCTGAATTTATCATCTGAAATATTTACTCAGTGCATACATAGTGTATTCCTTTTAGTTACAGAGATGGTCCAGGCGCTCCACTTCGATGTACTTATGAAGGAACTTTGAAAGAACTCTTGGTTCCAGTAAAAGCTAGGCAACCCAAAAAAATGTATTATCAACAGGTAAGAATGTTTAATAAGTTTCTAGTTTAAGTTATTTGAGTGAAATTAGAGAAACTAAGTATTCCTCCAAATATTTCTACTTTACAAATCATTTCAAAATTCTTTCTTTTATGTATATTTGTCTCTAATAGTAACATGAGAAAGTGGTTTTTCATTGCAAGAAAACCACCAGCTTAAAAATTTTAAAAAATTAAGGACTAACATTCAGAAGGTTGAGACAGTGATGCATTTTATGCATTGAAATTTTTTAAGTAATTTTGTAGTGTTTAACTTTTTAAAAGTATGATGATTTGATTAGTTATAACTTTGGAAATAAGATTTTAAATTGTTCAAACCCTATTTATATAAATAGCCAGTTAGTTAATTTTATTTATATATATATATATATATTTCATTTT